TTATTTACTATTTACTTTCTCTTTTTTTCCTGTTTGTTTATATTATGTAATTATTATTATTACTTATTATTTATTTTCTTATTTTCTGATATTCCTCTTCTTATTAGTATTATTTTTTTGCTCTGTAATTATTATTATTTTTCTCTTTACATACTTGTAGATGGAGCTAGGAGAACTCACAATATACTAGCACACTTGACTTACTACATTTCACATATGTTTCGTCCATCCAGTAATATCCAGTGCTGCTTCCTTTCCATTACGCAATAAATAACTGATCACAATATATATATATATATATATATGTATATGTATAAAATCTTGACTTTATAAACCTGCTGTGAGTAAAAGCTGCATCCAACAACGATGTGGTGACACCGCACGAGGCTGCAAACAGCTACACGAGTGTGGAGCAGCAGTTAAATCAACAGGTAAACACCAGAGAACAATGTGGAAGAATGAAGAAAAACACTGCCTGACGCTTCCACCCATCACACTTCACTGGAAGTCTAAAACACAGACAAAATAAGACACAAGTTTATCAACAGAAACACAGCTGACGAGCATGTGATTTCTGTCTGAGCAGAGAAGGAAAAAAAAAAGAGGAAAGATCTAAATCCAGTGTCTGACAACGCTTCAACAAAAGAGTTCTGGCTGGTAAACACAGTGCAATAAATACTGAAAGAACATGTGGCGCACTTTGCTGCTGATTTATGGTAAAGCTGCACATCTGAGCCACACATTAGCTCGTCAGTGCACATGAGTGAATGTTTGAATGATCAAGTGAAATACTTGGCTCCAACTAATAAGTTGGTTTTTTTTTTTGAACTGTATTGCTATACATTTTCTTTATTTGTGCGCTCACTACCTTCTCGACATCTGCCAGACAGCGAGGAACAAAGAAGAAAACAATGTCAGCTGCTCTCATCTCGCTGCTCTACCTGCTTCACAGGAGCGTTTTGAGGCTGAAAGGAGTCGACACTGACATTTCCAAATGCATCTGAATGAAAAAAAAAAAGCCCTGATCGGGGTCCAGGTGACCTCGATACGTCCTCGCTTTTCTGACCACGCACTTCAAGGCCGACGGTGACAAGGTGAAGTGCATCAAAGCCGAAAGCAGCAGCTGAGTTTGAGACGCTTCCGGACAAAGAAGGATGTGAAGCTACTTAAAGAAAGGAGCGCGGCAGCTGCTCTGACTGACAGAACTGTTGATGCTAAATGTGAAACCAAACACACGGCGAACTGGTGATCTGAAGTTTTCAAGAGAGAAAATTTGGCAAAAAGAAATGTGCTTGAAAGCTTGAAGATGTAGATAAACTTGTGTTTCCTGCAGAAAACCCATGAAGCAAACACACAGCTTCAAGTTTAATATGAGAGAACAACGACTTTCAGGTTTTAAAGAAAGTGAATGTCGTGCATGTGACAATAAGTCAGTACTCACCGGTGTGTTAAAGACTTCATTATAGCAAACAGAGGAGCGCAGGTACCAGCTGATGTTGAACGCCAGGTTCCTCTCACATGACGCCGGGTCACCCTGGACTGCAGAGAGAGAGGAAAGAGGGAGAGGCTCTGGATTATGAGACGATGTTAAAGCCTTCGGCCCCGCGACCTGTTGGAATTCGTGTTGCAGCATTGCATCCTGGTCTATTTTAAATCAGCATCTCTCCCTGTTTCACAGTGTTATGGGTTTGTCACAACACAATAACAATCTCCGTCTGGTGACTTATCAGCACCAATAAAAAACTGCTTCATTCAATAAATAAAATCCCCCCCAGAGGAAGAAAAACTGATTCTGTTCACTTTGTGTTTTCAGGGCAAAATCATCAGCACAGGTCCAACGCTGTTTTAGCGGAGGGAAAAGATAATTCATGATGTAAAGGTCAGGCTGCTTACACTTCATGAAGATGGTGGTGTTGGCGTACAGCGTTTTCCGAAACACGGCGTCTTGTGTCTGAAAATGCAAAAAAAAAAAAGAGACGATTCAACCGGCTGCTGTTTGGGCTCATTTCTCATTTCTTTTATATTATCAACACAGTTATTTTTTTTCCAGCCAAATAGTCCAAACTGCATTTGAATAATTATTAGATTATATTTACAGCCTCTCAGATGACAGAGTATAAAAGAAAAAGATGATGTCAAGCTACTGTAACAGTATCAATTTTGCGAAAGCAATCACAGACCGTTAAATTTACAGCAAAGAGATTAAATCTGCCACACAGCGTTAATAGATCCAAAAAGCACATGCACATACACATCAAATTGTGCTGCTAGATAGGATGTTTCCTGGATTAAATGTCTAGATATTTAACCCAGCTTTTTCCCTGTTAACTACTTTGTGATTTTTCCTGAGCAATGTGTAAACGACAAGACAACGAGACACATTAATCAATTTAAGATTTAACTAAATACAAAATGGCAATAAACAAAAACACATATTTTTGCCGGTGCACAGCTGCAGACTGTGCTATGGCCACATCTGTAGGTGGTTCATTATTCAATCAATTATTCGATCAATTACCTACAGAGAGGGTTAATTAACATTATTATAACCACAACAGCGCAGACAAGTACAATCTGAAGTATTGCCCCTATCACCCAACATATATCCACACACATGGAGGCAGGACATTTGGACACTTGAGTCTTACATTTCCCGTTTAGATTTTAAATGTCTATCATTTGATGTATTTAATGACTATTGTAAATGTTTTTTTTGCCAATTCTTTGTGTGTTATTTTCTTCTATTGTGTAGTTTTATTGTGTGTTCTGCTTCTTGGAAAAGAGATTTTATTCTCAATGAGACTGCCTGATTAAATAAAGATTAAAGAAATAAATAAATAAATATATTACCCTGACAACAACATGATAGAGAGGTTGAGCTGCACTTTTCAGACATAATAGTTCGTATCTTATTCTGTGTAATTGTTCCTTTTTCTGTCAGACTGTAAATAAAAACAAATAAATAAAAACAGTCAGGATTAAGTACCGTCATTTTAATGGTTGTGTTTTCTGTTTTGCACGGAGGTAATAACCGGTTTAACTCCTCTTATCTTAGAGCTGACATCTGTAAAATAACACTGGGTCGTGGCTTTTACAAAATGCCACCGGTATCATGTCAGTTTCACGGTGGCATATGCCAGAAGATGACGCTATGACTGGTTTTAAATTAATGATATTTTGTCAAGACTGGTGAAAGCAGAGCTGTCAAGAGCATGAACGTGTCTGACAGGTAGCATGTAGCGGACTGAAGGGTTGCCCAGGGGGCTAGTTGGCTACCCTCGGCTAACAGCTACAGCCCCGGTCAGATTTAGCCCGACAGACAGTGTAATAACCCGAAACAACGCGTATGCTGCAGGCGCAAAACTGACCGAGTTGATCACGTTCCACACGGAGACCTCTGCCGCTGTCCCGAGGCGCAAAACTGACGCAAAAAGCAGCAGACATAGCGGACGTGCATCTGGCATCTTCATTTGTGCATCTACTACAGGTCAGACCACCCGTATCCTCCTCCAGTTCCGGGGCGCCTCTCGTTGTAGTTCCCGCCGTCGTCGCTAGAGGGCAGAACATATGTGTGTCAGTAATGTCATTTTTTATTTATTTGATTTATTTATTTATTTATTTATTTTTTTTTCTTTTACATTTTTTTTGATTTATAACTTTAAATTTTTTTTTTCTATTTTTTTTTTAAGTTAATAGTAATTACATTAGATATACAGAATAAGGCACAAAAGAAGTAGCCCAACATAACTAACAAAAACAAACAAGCAAATATGCACAGTGCCAGGGGTTATATATAAAGTTTGGCACAATCAAATACAAACTGAAAGTGGTACAGTAAAAAATAATAATACATATTAATATTTTACATTTGGAGCACAAATTGAAGGTTTTCACCGCTTTTCTATTACATGAGGTAGATAATGTTCTGATATAGGGCTCTGCTTCCTTCTTAAAAGTACAAAAAGAGGATTTAGTTTTTAACACCTTACAGTTATGGATGTAAAACTTGGCCAGTAATATGATGAGATTGCACAGGAAAAATTCAGTAATGTGATACTTCACCCATAGGTTCCTCCAGAATACTGCCAGTGCTTTTCTTCTTATTGCCAAATTTTCATTCCTCTTGTACCTTTTGTAAACAAGATTTAGAAACAATTTCTCACTTTGTTTTGAATGTGAAATATCCCAGAAATTTTAGAGAGATCTTACTTTTTTGAAACTGGTAACTCTCACTACTCCTTCAACCTTAAATATATTATTTGTTGCTATGATAATCCAAACGATGTGGCTCTTAAATATCGAATTAACTTCATAATTCTAATTGCTAAATTCTTTATCCACAAACAGAAATTTGTCAAACTAACTCCTAAATTTTTTTCTTCTAGAACTAAATTCTCTTATCAAATCATTCAGTTTGATAAACTACAAAAAAAGTAATAAACTTTTGACAATTATGGAAACTTTCTCCCTGTAACCTCCGACTGAATAAATCATTATTTGTGTATTTATTTATGTACCCCTGAGTTACTTTTTTTGGTCTTTTTTTTAAAGAAAAGAAAAAAAAGAAATTAAAAAAATTATATTTTTACATTAATTATTTATTATTAATTATTGTCATCACTAGTAATGAGCTGCTGGACACCTGTATTACTCATAGGGGATAAATAAAGTATCTATCTATATATAAAGATATATATATATATCTATATATACTTTTTTTAACATTTAACATTACCTAATATCATAATACAAAATGATTCAATCGGGATTTTGCTTTGAAAATTCACACCGGAAGTGTAGTTGGCGGTGATTGGTGTGATCATATCCTGTGTGTGGCCGCCGTCCGTACGGTTGTTTGACTCTGTCGGCGTCTGGGAGAGAGTTTACACAGAGAAGTAATGTAGCTAATGCTCAGACCAGAAGACCACAACCGACTGTGAACGACTGGTGTCTATTTTTATTTTATTTTATTTCATTTAATTTCTCCATGTTAGCTCGAAATGGCGGGAGTGAGCCAAACCGTTATTAGGTATAAACGCCGTGCTGTTTTTCTGTCACTCTGCAGCAGTGGGAAGTTTTACTGTCACTGTTTGACCTTTGACTTTTCACATGCAGGCCATCTGAATACTTGTGTCCCCCGGTGGACCAACATGTGTGACAGTGTGTTCATAATGTTTAATGAATGGTAATGTGTGTGTGTATATCACTGCAGGACAGGAAACTCATCTGCATTTTGTTGGTATATTAGTCGGTGGATTTAACTTTGTCTTCTCAAACAGGTGTTCTGACAGGTAACCCATCATTTTTAGGGTTCTGTGTAAAAGTCATTAAAAGAAAGACAGAGAATGGTTTATTTCCTGGTATATGATGTGTATATTTCTCTGCTTGTTCCTCAGTGTCGTCCCTGATGATGAAGGGAAAGAAAAGTTCAAGAACAGTAGCCATGTCGCTTTCTACAGGTGTGTTTGGCTTTGACTCTGACAGTGTGACACATGATTTGTATTCGCAAATAAATTACAATAAGCCACAATTAAGCTTGTTTAGCAGAACGTATCATTATGTGTGTCTACAGTAGAGTTTAAGCCTCGCTGTACAGGACTGGTTTAAAATGTATTTTGCATCTTAATGTCTTTATTGTCTCTTTTGAGGCGACAGATGCAGGGTCCGAACCTGCAGCACCGAGCCCTGTTGGACACCATGGTGCTCACAGAGAAAGGGGCTCGTTTTGAACTGTTGGAGCCCGACACTCAGGTCTGAACTCTCATATCACTGAAAATCAAAGTCAAGAAACATCTGTTTATTCAAATATTTGATCGTCATTCAGGCAGAAAGTCTTAAATAATCTTCAGTCTTTTGCTCTTTGAGGCATAAAGAATGAAGTTGCTGGTGTTTATCTGTTGTGTTGGTGCATGTCTGCGCTGATTAAAATTAATTACTGTAAAAATAAATCCAATTCTGCACAGGAATTTGTTCGATCACACAGGAAGGTGCAATAATTAATATTAATAATTGTCATAATTATTTTGAAACAAATATTTTTTTTCAGTTCAGATTTTTGTCTTGTAATTTCGGTAATAAATTTGAATTAAAGTCAAATTTAAAAAGGTATGAAATTGTTAATTTCACAGAATCCTGCATGTAACCAAAACACTAATGCAAAAATAATTACTACATAGCAAGTGGTTAATCATATTATTTCAGAGGATTGTTTTTGTCAGTCTGAAACAACCTGATAATAAATATATGAACTAAACCTTTTAATTCTACATTTGCTCTTTTCACAGACCAGACTTCTTCTCTCTGTGTCTCCTTGCAAAAACGACTCTGTAAGGATTCTGATAGATGAACTCCAGCCCGTTAAAGCCCGCTACCGAGTTCCAGATGTGATAACCGGGGAACCGCAGTGTGAACGGTACGAGCTGCATCGCCGTGACTGATTTGTGCTGCAGTGTTTTGAACGGCGTTTGACCCCCCCCCCCCCCCCCCCCCCCCCCCCCTCTCCTCTCATCGTCTGGCAGGTTGAGAGTGGAGACACGTACTCAGGACTCTGTCACCCTCTCTTGGTGTTCAGGACGTCATCAGGTCCGTGTGTGGCATTTTCCCTTCCGCGTGGAGATCCTGTGCGAAGATGAAGCGATGGTTACATTCAACCCTAAAGGCCAGCTGTGGTTTGAGACGCTGCGGGACCCACCCAGGTGAGGGGCGCAGGGACGGGTTGTGTACACGAAAAAGAAACTAAACGCAGGTAACTGAATCCTTTTTTATTGGTGTGTCTCTCCTCAGCTCCACATCTCACGAGGTAAGAGAATATCAACACTGTTCAAACTGCAGTTTCATATCACTCCGACTTAAAGGTCTGTAAATACCTTTGTTGTTTTTTGTTTTGCTTTGTTCCACTGACAGCTTCAAGAGGACCCCCCGAGTTTATTGTGGAAAGAGACGTTCAGGAACTTTGTGGATATCAAAGCTAACGGTTCGTGCCTGCTGTGAAATATCTTTAAAAGGCAAAATCTGTAACAATTAGTCTCATTTTCTCAGCTTGACATTTGGAAATTGTCTGTTTTTATTCTCCTCACTCGTTAAAATCATCGGTTTTAAGGGATGAAAAATATGTGAAGGTGTGACTGTGTTTTCGTACATCTTCTCTCAGCAAATTTCTAGATTTCACTCTATGAAACAAACAAACAAAAGAGGGTTGATACTCGAGCCAAACGCACAGTGTGTCAAATACGAATTACACATCGTGTTGTCAGAAACACTTTATGGGCCTCGAGTTTCCGAATAATGTCAGAGAAAGGAAGTGTCACTTCTCAAGACGGTTCCTGCGAAGCACCAAGTCATTAGTACAAGTCCTAATCATAAGGAGCCACGTCCAATTAATAAACTCCAATTACTTGCTGGTGTACAGCAGGTAGGCAGAACGCTTCCTTCACCTTCAGTACGGTTGTAAATACAGGCATCATACTCAAATATATCACCGAACAGATTGCTGTTTTCATTGATGGTTTCCATTGGGGTTGTCACGGCAACAAGGACTTATTCAACAAGACACACAACCACATCACCTCAGCGTCCAGTGTCTCACAGACCCAAATCAACAAAAGAATAGATATGGTTTAATGAGAAATGTTCATAATTAATGAGGTTAATATTTTGTGTATAGATTCATGGACATGCAGTTTTGTAGGATGATGATTATCTGGTAGATAATGAAAGATTCAGTCTGAGCTTTTTATTGTTTTATTGTTATGATGCGTTATTATGTGTCGTGTATTGTGTTGTGTGTGTTACTGTGTCGTGATGAGTACTGTGAATATGTGCGGTTGTATTGTCAACATCAAACCCGAACAGACTCCAGGGAGAATATCTGCTGAGACGCAAAAAGCTAATGTGGATCCAGTGATAAACGAATGGGATTTACTCCTTTACTATTTGAACACTACACTATATGACTAAAAGTACTTGTTGTTTCTCTCCAGGTCCCAGCAGCGTCGGGGCGGACGTCCGTCTTCACGGGTTCAGTCATGTGTTCGGTCTTCCAGAACACGCCGACGGCCTGCAGCTCAGAGACACCAGGTACACGCGCACGTGTAGCAGCAGACGGCAGCACTTCTTTGTTTGTAACCGTGTGATTTGTGCGTTCATCTCCTTCCTGCTCTGCAGCCCGTTTGATGAAGTATCTCATCTCACAGAGATGGGGAACCTTACCGGCTGTATAACCTGGACGTCTTTGCCTACGACGTGTACTGTCGCCGCGGCCTGTATGGCTCCGTGCCTCTCGTGGTGGCTCACAAACTCGACAGGACTCTGGGTGTGTTTTGGCTGAACGCATCAGAGACTTTTGTGAACGTACATTACGGTCCCACTGACCCCCAGGTGAACCCTGTTAACCCTTATCTGTCCGTCTGTCTTCCAAAGCTTCTCCTGGTTTCAAACAGTTATTTAAATTTATTAAAAGCAGGATTACTCTTAAAAACAAAAATAAAATCTGCAGAACCACAGAAACCATTTCCCAGGTAAATCATTTCAGAAGAAATTCAAAAATTACAATACAATTGTATTATTAAGTTGATTATGTTGTTGTCAATTTAAAATGTTTATTAAACGTTCCTTTATTTTGAAAGGATGTATTGTAAAAACAAATGACGTTAAAAAACACTTAGAAAAATGGGAAGGTTTGTTGAGGTAGAGGGCTGGTTGTGATTGTGTCGACAAAATTTTAATTTAATAATAATAATAATTTATGAAGTGATGCAGAATTTGATTTATTTTGCCTTATGTAGTTATTCTTTAATATTCCTTTTTTCGTTTAGTGTGACGTTTTTGTCCATTTAAAAAAGAAAAAGAAAAAAAAGTACATTCATGACCACATAATACCCCCCCACCCCCCCACCCCCCAACCAGGGCGACCAATCACCCCCAGCAAAGAGGAGGCAGATGCAGCCTCAGACTGACGTCCACTGGCTGTCGGAGAGTGGCGTGATTGACTGTGTGGTTCTGCTCGGGCCCGGTCCACAGCAGCTCTTCAGCCAGTACGCTCAGCTGACAGGTGAGTCTGCGGCTCTGCATGTGTCTACTTGTATTTATTTGTATGTAGTTGCATATAAAACCAAAGAATAACCTTAAACACGTAAATAAAACCCCCCTCCCTCTGTCAGGATATCAAGCCCTGCCCCCCCTGTTTGCCCTCGGGTACCACCAGTGCCGCTGGAACTACCGCAATGAAGCCGATGTGAAGGCCGTGGACGCTGGATTTGATCACCACGACATCCCGTACGATGTCATCTGGCTGGACATTGAGCACACGGACGGGAAGCGTTATTTCACATGGGACCCCGTTCTATTTCCCGACCCGGCCGGCCTGCAGCGCCACCTGGAGAAGAAGAAAAGGAAGGTCAGTGTCAGGTTCTCAGAGTCCTTTTCTGCTTTTACCTGCTGCAAGTTGAAATGATTTACTGTGCATCTTTTTTAGCTGGTCGTTATAAGTGATCCCCACATCAAAGCTGATCCTGATTGGTCGCTGTACCGTGAAGCCAGGGATGGGGGACATTTCGTCAGGAACAGAGAGGGACAGCTCTACCAGGGCTCTTGCTGGCCCGGTAATGTTTTTAGACAGACACGAAATGGCACAAAGAAATCTCCACTGTTAAGCTTAAAGAAATACTTCTACTAATACTGCTATATATGTACTGTAATAGTTATTAATTCTATCTTGTCTTTTACTTCCAAATTAGAGACATTTTCCAGGATATAATCATCAGATTACTTTATACTTTTATTATAAGATGACTGAGTATTTTTATAAACCCCTCCATATACATAATACACACATAAATGAAAATTATTTTATTTTTGCTCCATCCATATAAACGTTTCCCGTAGGTGAATCCTGTTACCTCGATTTCAGCAGCCCAGCCACTCGAGCGTGGTACTCCAGGTGCTTCAGCCTGGATAAATACAAAGTAAGTGTAGAAATAATCCTCAGATCAATAACACTGTGTACATGCAGCACAGTTTATCCATAAGGCTTGATTATGTTTTTGCTGTCTGGAGTTGAATTTTTTATTTATTTTTTAAAATCTTTTGTAGTAGATGAGAAATTAAAGAAATGTGTGTGCTCACCTCCAACAAATGCTTTTTTTAAAATTTCATTTCATTTCATTTTATTTTATTTTATTTTATTTTATTTTTTTATTTTCTTATTTTCTTATTTTCTTATTTTCTTATTTTCTTATTTTTTTATTTTTTTATTTGGATCCCCATTAGCCACTTCCAAGGTAGCACTTGCTCTTCCTGGGCTCCACTCAAGTAAAAATTACATCATAATGCAAAACTATTCAAATTAAAATCATAAAAGACAAAAAAAAAAAGAAACAAGAAAATAACAACAAATACAAACAACAGTTAAACTATTAATAACGATAATAACAACAGTTATTTTATCTAAAGTAAAAGGAAAACATTTGATTCAGCTCAAAAAAACAATAATACAACTACAAACAGTGACAGGAATAAAATGAGAGAATATTCTACATTAAATATTAAATTAATATTGACATTATAAACCCACAGCGAGCAGTTTTGTGTTGTTGAAGTTGTTTCTGTCTGATTCAGGGATCCACGCCGTCGTTATTTGTGTGGAACGATATGAACGAACCGTCTGTCTTCGACGGGCCGGAGCAGACGATGCCCAAGGACGCAGTGCATTATGGGGGCTGGGAACACAGGGAACTGCACAACCTGTACGGCTTTTACCAGGTGAGTGGGAATCAATTTAAATTCTCTTCATGAAAGTCAAACACCAATATTTTCTGGATTAAATCTGCCGACGGCCTGATATTAACATTTTTCTGTGCGGGAAAATTTGGTTCCCCCGAAATTTCAAATTTGTCAGGGTGGGAAAAAACATGGTCTTAGACCATTAAGTGACACTAAAACTCTTGGACAACTTTAGTAAATGACTTGTGTTTCCTCAAAGCACATGGCCACAGTGGAGGGTCTGGTAACTCGCTCGGGCGGCTCAGAGAGACCCTTCGTCCTGTCGCGCTCCTTCTTTGCTGGGTCACAGAGACTTGGTGAGTTATTTCAATGGAATAAAAAAGTTAAAGATCTTCTCATGTGTTTATGGAGTGTTTGTTGTGACTGACTTGGTTTTGATACGCAGGAGCGATATGGACGGGGGACAACGTCGCCAGCTGGGAGTATCTGAAGATCTCGATTCCAATGCTTTTGTCTCTCAGTGTGGCGGGCGTGGTGTTCTGTGGAGGTGAGCGTGGTACTGTGCGTACCGGGTTCTTTTCTTTTTAACTGTACAATCACAGCTAGACAGAAATACTAGACTTTATATGACGTACTTTGCACCAAAACTCTGTGAAATCTTATTGAAATGTTCTGCTCTTATGCTGTTTCTGAGTTGTGACGTCTCACATTCTCCCGTGTCCGCCGCGTTTCAGCCGATGTCGGTGGGTTTATTAAGGATCCGGATCCAGAGCTGCTGGTGCGCTGGTACCAGGCGGCCGCCCTGCAGCCGTTCTTCCGCGGCCACTCCGCAAATGTGACGAAGCGCCGGGAGCCGTGGCTGTTTGGAGAGGAGGTCACCGCTGCGATCCGCGCCGTAATCCAACAGAGGTGCCGTCAGAGAAGTGATCGTTTATTAACCAGCTAAGATGCTGATCAATTAATATTTAAGGTCTTGAACTAATCACCAGTGAGGCTGGAAAGACTGTTTCACATTTTACTCACTTTGCTAAACTTAATACAAACAAATGACCAACGCATTTGTTTTCTTCAGCTCCCCAAACTGAGCAAACTGTCGTGAGTAACCCGGCTCTTCTTCTTCTTCCTCTTCTTCTTCCTCTTCCTCTTCCTCTTCTTCTTCCTCTTCCTCTTCTTCTTCCTCTTCTTCTTCTTCTTCTTCTTCTTCTTCTTCTTCTTCTTCTTCTTCTTCTTCTTCTTCTTCAGGTACTGTCTGCTGCCCTACTGGTACACTCTGTTCCACCAGGCCCACACCTCTGGTCTGCCTCCCCTCAGGTGAGTGTTGCTGCCACCTGCTGTTCAGATGACGCACTGCGGCTTCAAACGTCAGTGTCGGTGCCGTGGGATCAGACGCCAGAGGTCGATATCTCTCATGTTATTTGAGCAAGGAGTTATAGAGACACTGGTTTTGTTTAACACAGACCTCTGTGGGCGGAGTTCCCGAGAGAGCAGAGCACCTTCGCTGTGGACGACCAGTATATGATCGGTGATAAAAACGCCCCTTTAATTTTGCATTATTACACACAGCATTCCCTTTAATCCTCACACCTGGGAGTTGAACTGTGTTTGGTTTCCTGCAGGAGGAGCGCTGCTGGCCTGTCCCGTCACTGAAGCAGGTCTTCGAGAAGCCAAAGTGTTACTTCCTGGATCTGGTGAGGTAAAAATAAACCCCCAGGTAACATGTTGATGTATTCTAACATCATGTGTCAGTGCGGATGTTACAGTAAGGTTTGTGTCTGTTCCAGATCTGGTATGATGTCCACTCTGCGAAGGCGTACGAAGGAGGCAAGACGCTGAGTCTTCCTGTCACCCTGGACACAGTTAGTGTTTCCCACAATGCACACAGCAGAGCGGGGGGTGGGGCTTAACAGGAAGTTGTCTGAGGGAAATTTATCATCGGAAAGTGAGTGACTGAGTGAAGGTGTTTCCTCCGTGCAGGTCCCTGTGTTCCAGCGTGGCGGCACGGTGGTCTGCAGGTCGACAGGAAGCGGCTCCTGTACGGCTGATTTCCAGCAGCTGCCGCTCTCCGTCACCGTGGCGCTAAACTCCCAGGTGAGAGAGGGAGGGAGGATGTGGGGACCAGGTGTCTAATAATAATAAAACATCTTATTTATAGGCACCTTTCAAGGCATTCAGAGACACCTTACAACACAGTGAAAGATAAACAGCATAAAATACAGAATAAATTAGAATAAATGTAAATGCATAGAAATAAATATGATTAAGATCTGTATTTCATTAGGGCTGCACCTACAGATTATTTTCATTACCCATTAATTAATTGCCTGTTTTATATATTCAGATGTTCAGTTGTTCTCACAGAAGAAGCTGGAACCAGTGAACAAAATTACTAAATCAATTAATCAATTATCAAAATAGAAGCTGATTCATTTTCTGTTGCATCAAACTAATTGATTAATCAATTAACTGCCTAATTGTTGCGGCTCCATATTAGATACAGAACGGCGTCTCTGACTTTAAATTCTCATGAGTTTGTTGTAGATGCTCAACTAATGAATATAATTATAACTTAACTAAACTTAATTAACTTCTGTTTTGATGACAGTGAGTTTGTCCCATGATGAATCAGTTGTGATGTTTTTAGTAAACGAGCTGTGTGTTTTAGTGGCAGTTGATTGGTTAAAGTCCAGGCTGCCGCTCCCTCTCTCTCTGCAGCGTGCAGCTGACGGGGAGCTGTACCTGGACGACGGCCACTCCTTCAGCTACCGCGACAGACGGGCCTTCTGCCGGCGCAGGTTCAGCATGCAGTCCGGCCGGCTGCTCTGCCGGTGAGTCACACTCGCAGCTCCTGAAGAGGAGGCGCTCTGAGACCAAATTATATTTTTATGTTTTTATTCCGGCGCTGCCGCCGCCACCGGTCAGAGCAGCAGCCATGTTGTTTTCACGTCTGTCCGTCTGTCTGTCTCATTCTCATGGACACGACATCTCAATAACACCTCGATGGAACTTCTTCAAATTTGGCACAAACATTCACCAGGGCTCAACTGATGAACTGAGTAGGTTTTGGTGGCCAAAGGTCAAAGGTCAAGGTCACGGTGACCCTTACAAAAACAAAGTTATGGCCTTGTGAACGCAACATCTCCGTAACCTCTTGAGGGAATTTCTACAAATTTGGTACAAATGTTCATTTGGACTCAAGGACGAACTCATTAGAATTTGGTGGCTAAAGGTCAAAGGTCAAGGTCACGGTGACCTCACAAAACACATTTTAGCCATTACTCAAGACTTAACACAGCAATTGGTTCATATTTTATTTGTTTCTGGATGAACAGGGGTGTGACCTGAAGCTAGTCTGAGTGGCGGAGGGATACGACTGTGAGGAGGAGCCGTGATTCTAGTTTTTTGGTTGTACTAGTAACTGACATGTAGGGCTGAAGTGAACCTCGGTTAGTTTTAGTCTCTGAAAGGAAAACTCTTCACACATCGATGTGACACCTGTTGTCCACGTTGCTTCTCTCAGCCCTGCCGCCGAAGACGGAGCGTTTGACTGTGACGCTGTCGTGCGCTCGGTCGCCGTCCTGGGAGTCAGGACCAAACCGTCCGCTGTGACTGTGCACGTGTCAGGTGAGGATCTCCGCTGTCACGCTCACAGCTGCCACACTGAACGCACATTCAGAGGGATGATACTGTCATGCAGATAACGACGCAGCGACGTGTCGTCCAACATAAACATGAGAATTAAAAACAGCATCCACTCAGTTAAAGCTTAAAATAAAACTCCTGCACTAAAAACATTTATTACCTATTTAATGTGACTGGTTTCTTATTTCTGTGGCCAAACAGAAAATCATCCTGTTTTCTGCCACATTCGTTGTTTTGTTCTGTTGTTCTTATTGTGGCGGGAGAAAGAGGCAGGGTGATGAAATGAAACACGGTTTTGCTCTGGAAGTCTTTGTTTTGTTTTTCAGTAAAAAAAAAAAAAAAACAACCAAAAAACATAAATCCTTCAAATCTTTTCATCACCAGGTGCTAGAGACACGCCTGCTGCATTTCAGTACCTGGACACCTGCCGCTCGCTGACGGTGAGCAACCTGAACCTGAGAGTGGCGATGGACTGGGACATACAGATCGCTGCCAACGTGTCCCTCCACTGAATTAGTTGTTTCAGACGAGAGGAGGACAATGGCAGGTTTTATTAATCATCAAAATTATTTTTAAATGGCAAATGTAATTACTTGACAGAGTTAAATGAAGACTCGTCTAACGCTGCGGGTTCGACATGCAGCGCTCCACAATTCTGCTTTTATTATTTTACCCTCTTTTCTTTTGGAGCATTTTAAAGAAAAGCCCTAAAACATATTGTCCAATCCGTCCATTTACTTCTGCTTCATTGAGAACTGTACTTAAAAAAACACATTAATAAAGTGAATGTAAAGTGACAAACCAGGGAGAAAAACAGGCTCATTTTAATGTGTCAACCGTTATTTTGTCTTGAATTATAAAACTACAAGACTAAATAATAATTATAATCTTTGTTTATTGCTTTTTTAAAATGTGGACTATACAAAAGCACATACAACCCCCCCACCCACATACAACCCCCCTCACCCACATACAACCCCCCCACCCTGGTGCAAAGTGAGTAGATAAGTAAACAAAATAAAATCTAAATACAGCAAGTGCAATGTTTTTTTTACGATATAAAAATGAATAAACAATTAGAAAAAGAAAGAATTTAAATAAATGAAGGGAATCTCGCTGTGACAGACGCTCGACAGGTCGTCATGGTTAACTAACTAATTAACTAACTAACTGACTAACTAACTAAAACCCAGTGACAAACCGTCCTGTTCAACAACACTGTGCCGTGTGACCTGACTTCTTCCCAAAGCAGATGTTCGCTTAAGAGTGACACAAACTAGTACAATAGTAAAAAATAAAACTGCTGGAATAGGCTGAATTCCCAAATGAGACATAACAAGGAAACTGCAGCAGGTGTGAGAATCACTGTGACGTAGCAACATATCTTTATTTTACTGAAATGATCATGTTTTGTTTAGTTTGATAAACGTCTGTTGCTAAATGTTAAAGCATCCGACTAGTTTAATTTAGTTTTAGACGAGCGAGCAAGAAAACTTTACACAAACTGCTTTAGACAGATAGATAGATAGATACTTTATCTCCTAAGGAAAGTTCAGGAATTCTTAGAGAAAGAGGGAGACAGAAGAGAAAGAGGAGACAGTACATGAGGAGAAATAAATGCATAACACACACAGATTTATAAAAAGTCAAAGACAGCAAATTATCTCTGAGGTTCTTTTTAAATATGTGCATTTAATTTGAATTCTCTGAGACAATGTGTGAGCTTGTTCCTGAGCAACAGGACGAAACAGCGATGAGACTGACTCTTTTTCTTCTTCTACTTTTCTGCCAGAAATAGTTTTTTTTTTTTTTTATTCTGTTTTTCCTGCAGAATCTCATCTATATCTGAAAGGAAGAAGCTCTCCGCTCTGAAGCAGCTTTTATTTATTATTAAGAACAGCTGTTTAAGACGATATGTGGCGTTTAACCACATCACATACTCTGGCAGTGTGTTGGGGATCATCTGTGCTGTTTCACTAAAACCCAAAATGTTGGATTGAAGTTGTACTTTTCAGACCAGAGTTAAATAAATAAATAAATAAATAAATAAAAATGGATGATACTCCTCTTCATGGCATTACCCTGCTCTGGTTATGCTGAGACTGCTCAACGCTGAGCTCCATTGAGAATAGGTTTAAAGGGGTTGAATGCCTTCTGCTGAGGCAAGGCATCTACCCACCACTCTTTACATGCCCTCTGGCGCGGCCCGCTGGCCTTTGTGTCACCCAACAATGATGGCACCGCAGCACCACAGCCAGGGAGAGGTCATTGTTCAGCGCGGCCAATGGGAGCGCAACAAATAGACGTTTACGTGAGGTGTGAGTTTCTGTGCATACGTGTGTGTGTGTGTGTGTGTGTATGTGTGTGTATGTGCGTGGTAATGCAAAGGTGAATGCATGTGGAGTGAATGTCTCTTTCACATCCAGCTTTTGCATCCACGCTGTGACGAAGGGAAGGGGGACGTCACACAAAGAAAGAGCCAATCAGACATTAGCTGTTTGGATTTATGCCAGGGTTTTTAGGCTTGTAAGACTTTAGTACAAGTGGCAAAAGCCAGTTTTAAAAAAAAAAAAAAAAAAAAAAAAAAAAAAAAAAAAAAGAAGAAGAAGGCAGCCGAGACGAGATGCCCTACACACCGTCTGGCTTTTTCTGCGACCGGTTGATCCGGGAACGAGAGAGGAGAGACGGGGAAGGGTCCCTGAACAAGCCGCTCCGCTTCAACGGCCAGGACTTCTGCTTCCAGAGGCAGGAGTGCCTTCAGACCAAGAACCTGTTTGAGGATGAGTCTTTCCCGGCCACTGTGGAGTCTCTGGGCTTCAAGGAGCTCGGACACAAGTCCAACAAAGTCAAGAACATCGTCTGGAAGAGGCCCAAGGTAGGAGGAGGAGGAGGAGGAGGAGGTGGAGGAGGAGGAGGTGGAGGTTAGTCTGGGTTGGCACACGGAGAGACACGATGATGGCAAAGTTAAATAAAGATGGGGATGGATCACACATGTGGGAGGTGGGACGTTATTTTTTTTATTTTTTATTTTTTGATACAACCTGCACGGAAATAACCACATTTCTCCTCGTGAGGGATTATTTCATGGGGAAAACTTTACCTGGGACTTTACCTGGAGATGTGATCAAAATGCTCCCACCTTTCCCACATGGACGGATTGGAATTAAGTGACTGAAAGTCTCATTATTTCTTGGCTTTTTTTTTTTTTTCTTGGCCTAAAATCACCAGTTTTCTATGAGAGAGAGAGCAGCTTTAATCTGACCGGTCCTTAACTCCTCTTTTGTGTTTATTATTGTCTGCAGGAAATCTGTGAGAATCCTCAGTTCATTGTTGGAGGGGCCAGTAGGACAGACATCTGCCAGGGAGATCTCGGTAAATCCCGTTTCTCTTGACACAGTAAACAAATGACAGCAATCAGTGTGTGAAGTGGAGAGGTGTCATTGTGCTGAGTGAGTTCACTGTGAATTACTAGAACGACTGTGGAACAAAAAAGATAAAGGATCTACGCTAAAATGCTTAAAACCAGCTCTTGTTATCTGGTAGTACGTTATTTTTTGAATTTATTTTAAACACAAACAAATGCAGAAATACTCGAAGCAAGTTGTGAAATAAATGAGCACATGATTTTATACATGGTGACAGAAGTATGCATGGACTGCACACACTGTATGGAACCCCCCAGTCTGTATTCATGCAGCTCGGGGGTGGGGGGGTGGCGGGGGGGGGGGGGAGATAACAGGGTCGCAAATATCCCATCGATCCCCCGCACACGGCCTCTCTGCCTGCAGCGGCCTCCCCGGTATTGTGCTTACTCTTTTGGAAGGGAATCCAACCAGCAGCACTTCTCATTGTTGTCCAGTTCAGGCTGCAAATAAAGGGGACCAAAGGGACAAAGGTCCTGGCAGACACTGTTAACCATTCCCTGTTGAAAAACTTACATTGTTCCCAGGGCCGGCAGCTAACACCCTGTCACACATCACCTGGACAATTGGAAAAGTCAAACGTCAGCACTCGGCGACGGTCTTTTCCTCCAGCAAAACATTTTTTTTTTTATCATGAGAGAAATCACAGACGCAGAGGTGCAAGTTCTTCGTTTGCTCTTGAAGCGTTTCCACCTGAATCCAAACGGTAGAAAGCGGGAAAAAGAGTAAAAGTTCAAACAGCTCCCGTCTCGATCCCCTGCACTTTGAACTCCACTCGTGAACATGTGGTTTAAGAGTTAAGACATTGAACGTGTGTTCAGGTGAATGAAACGAACTGATGTTGTGTGTTCAGGTGACTGCTGGCTGCTGGCTGCCATCGCCTGTCTCACCCTGAATGAGAAGCTTCTGTACCGTGTTGTTCCCCAGGAGCAAAGCTTCTCAGAGGGCTATGCCGGCATCTTCCACTTCCAGGTCAGAAAAGAACAAACTCCCATGTGTTCTAACAGAGAGCCCCCATCCCAACATTCAGCCCTTCCTCCTGCATGTCGCCGTCTTTAAAGTCAAATTTACTTTATTGGAGATGAAAGAAATCACCCAGCGCCTTTTTGATTCAAGTGTTAAAACTCAGTGGCTTCTCGTCCTTTCAGTGTTTGATCCTCACTATTGTTTCTTCTCCCTTGACCTCCTTCTGTCCTCCAGTTCTGGCGCTATGGCGACTGGGTCGATGTCGTCATCGACGACCGCATCCCGACCTTCAACAACCAGCTGGTCTTCACCAAGTCCGCCGAGAGGAACGAGTTCTGGAGCGCCCTGCTGGAGAAGGCCTACGCCAAGTGAGTGCGGTGAACAGAGAGTTTGAACTGAGTGTCTTCTGGGGAATTTTCCTTTTTTCCTGCACAAGTACAAGGAAGAACGGAGCTCAGCTACAGCACAGATTTCTGATTTATTGTTATTTGTAACTACACACAGGCTTTGTCAGGTTAGATAATAATAACAATAAAATACCTTTATTAGTAACCAGGACTGTACATGTCTGGATGAAAGAATTGAAAGTGTAACGCCTGTGTTCTCCCCCCTCTTCCAGGCTGCACGGCTCCTACGAGGCCCTGAAGGGCGGAAACACCACGGAGGCCATGGAGGATTTCACCGGCGGAGTCACTGAGTTCTACGAGATGAAGGAAGCTCCCAAAGAGCTCTACAAGATCATGAAGAAAGCTCTGGAGAGAGGCTCCCTCATGGGCTGCTCCATCGACGTGAGCCGGACATTTTTAGGCTTTAACTGAAGTTTCAGCCTGTAGCAATCTTTTATTTTTTTGAGTTTAATTCAAATGTTTTCTCCTCGTTTTGTGTATCTGCAGTCCCTGGTTCCCGCTCGCTTCGAGACTCGTACTGTGACGGGGCTTGTGAAGGGTCACGCTTACTCTGTGACGGCGGTGGAGGAGGTAACGCAGAAGACGAGCGTGTGTGTGTGTGATGTGCTGGGATTGTCATTTTGGGAATCATGTTGTCCAGAGCTTTAAAACAAACAAAGTGCACGAGGGTCTAAATGTGGAAATCTGTTTTCTTTTTCGTTACAGTGTAAACCGTCTCAGCACAAGGACAATAAAGTTCGTCTGGTGCGTCTCAGGAACCCGTGGGGTCAAGTGGAGTGGAACGGCCCCTGGAGTGACAAGTGAGGAGTTTTTATCAATATCTTAACTCCAACTTTTAGCTCAGTTTATTGTGAAATTATGTCTCAACCATTTTCTCCTCTCTGGTAGCTCGAAGGAGTGGACCTCCCTGTCTAAGTCTGAGAAAGAGAAGCTGCAGCACCAGAGCGCCGAGGACGGAGAGTTCTGGTATTTTTTTTTTTAAACCTTTCATCATTCCAGTTGTGAGATGTGGATTCCAACAACACGTTTCTCCACTAAGTTATTTGGTTGTTTAAGAGTAAATCCAGTCAACAGGAGGAAAACAAAAAGTGTTTTTTAACAAGGCCTGTCCTGATCTCCTCGCTTCCTGTCCAGGATGTCGTTCGAGGATTTCAAGAAGAACTACACCAAGATCGAGATCTGCAACCTCACCCCTGACGCGCTGGAGGACGATAAGATCCACAAGTGGACGGTGTCTGTGAACGAGGGCCGCTGGGTGAGAGGCTGCTCCGCCGGAGGCTGCAGGAACTACCCAGGTATAACTGCTGTGAAAGAAAATAACCTCTTTACGTCTTTCACAGAGGTTTGAGTCACTTCCTGATCAAAATGCACCAAATCATGATACACAGAACAGAATGAGCTGGAGTGTGTGGATATATTATTTTTGACCCCTGATAAATCTATATACTCATTCAAAATATCACGATGTGTTAAAAATCACAAAGAAGCAGAATTAGAAATGATATAACTTTCCAAAAAATAACAACAATGAAGAATAGAATCCAGATGTTACAGCTGTGGAGACTCACACTAAATGTCCTGCAGACACTTTCTGGACCAACCCTCAGTACCGCCTCCGTTTGCTGGAGGAGGACGATGACCCCGAGGACAACGAGGTGGGCTGCACCTTCGTGGTGGCTCTGATGCAGAAGAACCGGCGGAAAGAGCGCAAGATGGGAGCCAACCTCTTCACCATCGGATTCGCTATTTACGAGGTGTCCCGCTTGGTTCTCACTTACATTCACACTGTGCAAGCAAAACTTTACTTATACACAAAGTATGAATCATCAAGGAAGTGGCAACCACCAAAAACTATGTGGATATGTAAAGATACAACATTAGACACAAATTAAAAACACATAAATGACACGTGTGAATTAAAAAAAGATGAAAATGTTGGAGCACCTCTAATATTAATTATGAATTATTATAAAACCCAGAGCTCACAACCGCGTCATACAGATACTGAGGTGCAAGACCATGTACGGCCTTAAAAACAAGCGTCACAGTTTTAAAATCAATTCTAAAATTTACCGTAGGCCGGAGTAACGACCTCCGCTCAGAGGTTACATGGTCGTACTTCCTGTTTCTCGTTAAAACACTGTGGCAGCTGCAGAAATTGAACATACAACCAGGAAACGCTCGGTGGTGAATCTACAGTTCTTCTTCACATATTCAGGATGAAATAAACCAAACCAACTTTTTTTTTTTTTTTTAAATTGTGCAAAAATGTGCAATCAAAGCGGATAAAGTTCTCGTTGTAAAACCATGAGGACAATAAGCTTTTGGTTTGATTTTTCATCCTGCAGCGACACAAACGCTGACGTCCTCTCTGTCTCTCCACAGGTGCCGAGGGAGGTAAGGAAGGAGTAAATGAAACTGTGTCGCTGGAGCAGCAGTTTGCAAGTTTCCTGTTGTTATTATCATCATCAGATTTTTTACACAATAGTCCTGAGTGTTCGACCAGTTAGACATTCAACACCCCCTCCTCCCCCCTCCCCAGATGCACGGGAACAAGCAGCACATGCAGAAGGACTTCTTCCTGTTCAACTCCTCCAAGGCGCGCTGCAAGTCCTACATCAACCTGCGCGAGGTGACCCAGCGTTTCCGCCTGACCCCCGGGGAGTACGTCATCATCCCCTCCACGTACGAGCCGCACCAGGAGGGGGAGTTCATCCTGCGAGTCTTCTCTGAAAAGAAGAACACCTCAGAGTGAGTGGGTGAGGGCGAGCAGGGTGGCCTGCAGGGGTGGGGGGGGGCGGGGGGCGAGCTGGGCTGCTAGGGCACAAATCATTTCCCCCCCCTGAGACAATGATACAGTTACAGTTAGAAGATGCTTATTTCATTTCTCTGATGTTGATCTATGTTTCTTAGTAGGGCTGGGTATTGAAATACAACACATCAGAACCTTGATGGTTCTTCAGAGTCATTTCTAAAAGAAGTTGAGATCAGTTTTTTCCTCAGGAGATAAACTGAACATGACAAATTATGATTTCCTGCTCGAAACGATCCCCCAGTCTTACTGATCCATCTGTTTATTATGTTCTCTGAATGTTCTGTCAGAAAGTTTAGCAAAATGTCCGACACAGTTTCAGGCGATGTTTTCAAAATAGTCCAGAACTCAAAGATCCTTTTGTGTTTTTAAGGAGAAGGAACCAGATTAAACCAGTTTGGCATTTTTGTTTTAGGAAAGAAAATAGTTACCAATTAATTTTATGGGGATCAGCAAATTGATTAAGTGACTAATCAATGTTTCAAAGCCCAAATCAGAGGCAGGACCCTGTTTAAAGCCAAAAACACTGCACTTTTTCAAATGTAATAACTAATAATAATAATCTCATATATTATTTTAGTAGATAATGAACTTTTATTGTCTTATATTTAAACATTTCCAACAATACCCAGCCCTGCTTGTTTAGATGTAATGCAGCAGCAGCAGGATTGATTTACGTGTAACAGTGATTTATCTACCTCTCTATGTGGGGTGGGGTGGGCTGGGGTGGGGGTGGGGGGGGCTTGATGGGTGGGACACAAACCACCAAGAGCAAACAATGTTAACGGCAATTTGATTTGTAGAGCTGGAAGAAATCGGCCCCAGTTCGAAGCTGTTATGGAATCTTTTTTAGGACAAGCGACTTCAGATTTGGGCGCGATCCGGTAAACTTTCAAAAACATTCAATACTGCATACTCAAGCCTCAACTAACATCCACCCCACCCCACCCTCATCACCCCGCCCCAACCCCCCCGCTGCGCTGCTGCCCTGGAGGACCAGACGGCACGCAGGGAGCCGGCCTGCGCTCTGACGGACCGACACCTGGCTGTGAATCGGGCTGTGGGATGGATGTGCACGGGAAACTGAGCAAACATGGTCTTAGGAAACACATGGGTCATACATTTGCAAATAAAGTAATAATCAATACTATTAGTTTTAACCTCCTTGAATATCAGACGGATGGATTATCACATAGGGGAATAAGTCAGTTATTTTCAAGTGCATTGTGGGACAGTTATGACCCATCTGATCTAATAGAAATAGTAAAAGCCGGGAGACGACGCCCTCTACTGTCCCTGGAGGAGACAACAGGTGGTACTAAACTAACACGTTTTATTCACAGCTTCTTCTCTAAGACTTTCGTGGAATCGCCTCTGTCATGTTTTGGGACTGTAAGCCTTTAGAAAACGGTGTCACACATGAGTTTAACGCCTCAGTTATAGTCCTGATGTCTCGAAACCTTCAGCTCAGGATTCTGTACATTTTATTGGACTGTTTGTTTTAATGTGAGGACAGGAGTGAGATGATGTGCTGTAGTAAACGTGATTGTACAGGCTTACGGTCCAGATGAGATGTTGTTGTCAGCATCGTGACTGCTGTTTGTTCGTCTTCATCCAGGGAGATAGAGAACAGGATCGAGGCTGACCATCCAGTGGTAAGAGTCTTTCCCTATTTTATTTCAGAGTTTGCACAGTTAGAATATGAAAGTCTCTCTATTTTCTGTTTTTATTCCATTTGCATTTAATTCAACCAACAACACACGTGTATTAAACCCTAATAATGTTGAATGATATAGAACGAGGCGGATGAGAAAAGAGTTTCACAAACCTGATCTCCACATTTTTTCCTCTCACATCTTTCTCCCTCTCGTCTCGTTTGTCTCTTTCTACTTTGTGGCTCCATGACGCCTCAGCCGGCGCCGGCCTCGGCGGGGGAAGAGAGCGAGGAGGATCAGCAGTTCCGCACTATTTTTCAGGAGATAGCTGGAGAGGTGAGTACAGGGAGGACAGACGCCGCTCCTCAGCCTGAACACTCATCTCCTGCTTTTAACTGAAGGTTGACAGGAAGTAATAGATTTCTCCATCACTTACCATCGAGTGTGGGTTCTTGTGGACAAAAGCATCTGAAAATGAAAAGAAAAAAGACTCAATTAACTAATCAATAACTAATAAGTGAATACTAGTCAGCGGCTGTTTATGTAGATGTTTAGAGATGTGAACTAAGTGTTGAAAGTCTCCCTCTGGTTTCTCTCTCAGGACATGGAAATCACAGCCAACGAACTGAAAAACGTTCTGAACAGAGTGATCACCAAACGTGAGTCCAGTCAACTCAGATTTTAATTTAAGTGAAGTATAAATAGTCATAAGTCACATGAAGAACTCTATAACTTTTAGTGGCTTTCATCAGTTGTTGGACCCAGAAAATACAAATATCTGTGCAGCAGGGTTTGAGTGTAAAAAGCTTCCAAACAGTGAAATGCATCTAAAATGAAACTAAACTTAAAGCCTGAATATTTCTTTAATGCAACAATCATTTTCAAAACATTTTATAAATTATATGAGTTACTAACCCCAACACTCAAATGTAATATATGTACATATATTGATTTTTTTAAATAAATGACATATATGTACATAGAAATAAAAACATATGTAAAAATTCTATATGAAACCTATGAGAGGTTGGAATAATTTTATATATTGACGTTTATGTCTTGCCCATACAAATATATATGTTTATGTATGTGCGCTTATATTGTAGACATGTTAGATAAATATATATTAATCCTAAAGCCTGTCAGTATATGTTGATATTATAATGTGAATGAGTGAAGGTGACAAGACATGTTTAAAATTAATGAGAAAAACATGTTTCGTTAAACGTGCATATGTAAATTAAATATAATTCATTACCATATATGGTCGCAACATGTTATACCACATGAAAATGTGCATGTGCATATACAAATCTAACTCTCATATATGTTATAAACTTACACCTTCATATATCCAGAGGATGTTTATATGTGATAATAATAAAACTCTATATGTCATACATTACATTACTATGTGGGAAACACTGACTCGTTGGAGGAAATGAGTTTTTCCAGCTGATTGAAATATTATTTCTACGTTTCTTCTTGATCCTGGGAGACTTTTAAAAACTGAAATGTTGGGAGGGATTTTTATTTTAAAACATTTTCTGGGCTTTAAAGCGAGTTTTCAATTCCAGAGTCTCTCTCCCTCTCTCTCTCGCTCTGTCTCTGTCTCTCTCTCTCCCTCTCTCTCTCTCTCTCTCTCTCTCTCTCTCTCTCTCTCTCTCTCTCTCTCTCTCTCTCTCTCTCTCTCTCTCTCTCTCTCTCTCTCTCTCTCTCTCTCTCTCTCTCTCTCTCTCTCTCTCTCTCTCTCTCTCTCTCTCTCTCTCTCTCTCTCTCTCTCTCTCTCTCTCTCTCTCTCTCTCTCTCTCTCTCTCTCTCTCTCTCTCTCTCTCTCTCTCTCTCTCTCTCTCTCTCTCTCTCTCTCTCTCTCTCTCTCTCTCTCTCTCTCTCTCTCTCTCTCTCTCTCTCTCTCTCTCTCTCTCTCTCTCTCTCTCTCTCTCTCTCTCTCCCTCTCCCCCCCCCCCCCCCCCCCCCCCCCCCTCTGTATTCCCTGCAGATAAGGACCTGAACACAGAGGGCTTCAGTCTGGAGAGCTGCAGGAGCATGATTGCTCTGATGGACGTATCCTTTGTATCGAGTGCATCGGGCTGGCTGTGTTGTTGTGAGAGGCACAACCTGCCGAGACCCATGGCAGGGTCTGTGATGGACGCTCACAGGGCCGAGGCTCCGTTTTCATTTTTATTTTACATAACGACACCAGGAGATCGTTTTGTGGGAAAACCAGTGTTTTTTTTTTTTGACTTCTGAGACTCTGACGCGCTTCGCTGAAATGTCAGTTTTAGGCTCGTAGATCATTTACCGGAGTATTATGAAGCCAGGTGTTTTCTGAGTGGACGCTCACTAATATGATTTACGACTTTGGTCTTAACCGTTTGTGTTCAGATGGATGGGACAGGTAGACTCAATCTCCAGGAGTTCAGACACCTGTGGAATAAGATCAAACAGTGGCAGGTGGGAATGCAGGTTCCCCTCTCTCATTTTTTCCCCCAATATGCAAACGTGATATATGTACATATATGATGTTTTCATATGTCAAACATGTATGTAAAAATCATATATGAAACCTAAAAGAAATTGGAACAATTTGATATATTGACATACATTACATTACAAATTTTACTTTTTATTTTTAATTTCTACTATTTCACATATATTATAAACTTATATCTTCATATATATGATCATAAAATCCCCTTATAGGTGACATATATGGCAACATCACGCTTGATACAGGGGTAGATATGTCGTGTATTACATTTTTGTGGGTGATAATAACACAAACACCTTCTATCTTTAAGTATTTATTTATTGCCAACTGTATTTATCTAAGTGACGTGCAGCTGCAGGAAACTGTTTCCTCCGCATCAAACTCCCATATTCTCTGTTTCAGGGAATCTTTAAACACTATAACGCTGACCAGTCTGGGAGCATCAATAGCTACGAGATGAGGAATGCTGTCAACGACGCAGGTAATAAATAACACATCCAGAAAAACCTTAAAGGGTATGTTCACCCAAATCCCAAAAAGACATATTTTCCATCTGTCCATGTTGGTGCTCGTGGTTTTATTTGGCCACATAATATATAATATATAATATAATGACTGGGAATGAAATTTAATTAAAACAACATTAACATTACACAGAGTAACCACAGACCAATGCATGACTAAGGATCAGAGAGACGATATGTTTTCTGATTAGGGTGAATTGATCCTTTTAAATTCTTTACAATGAACATATTAAAAAAAAAGAAAAATATCACCATGGTTTTTTTATTTAAACGCTGATACAGATTGTAAAAGAAAAATGTGATTAAAGCTGCTGAAAATAAGTTTTTCTTCCCTTTTTTTTTTTAGAAGATGGTTTTTGTTTCTGTTCGGTTTTTCATGAAGACATTTAACAGTCATGATGTCACATGTGGAGGGTTGTGATGTTTGTGGACAGTCGCAGTGACTCTTACAGCCTGAACTCATCCTCTAAATGTCCTTGTCACTGTACAGTCATGTGTCTTGTGTCCCGCTCAGGCTTCCGTCTCAACAACCAGCTGTACGACATCATCACCATGCGCTACGCGAACGAGAACATGAACATCGACTTCGACAGCTTCATCAGCTGTCTGGTCCGACTCGAAGCCATGTTCAGTAAGTCAGTGCCTCATGCACATGAGGGGAAATGTATAACTACTACAGTACAAGTAGAGCATGTATTTGCTTTAGTATTTAATCTAGTGTCTGGAGATCCTAAGTCCCCAAAGATGTCAAATACTTGTTTATAAAATGAGGGGAAATACAGCTGGAACATTCCCATTCGGTTCAATAGCAAAGCCATGAGCGAGTACGCAAATCTAAAACACTAAACATGAAACAGAGACTCCAGAAATTCACCATATACTACCTGGAAGTTCAGGTCAGTTTGTTCAGTGTTTTAATCTTTTATTGCCACATTAAGAAACTTTTTCCAGCCTCCAAATGATGTTTTTGACATTTCCTGTTACTGCACTTTGTAGTTTGTTTTCTGTGTTGTTGGATGAGGTGAACCTCACTTGTGTTGGTGATGTTTTTCTCTGCAGGGGCGTTCCAGGCCTTCGATCAGGATGGAGATGGAACAATCAGACTCAGTGTCCTGGAGGTAAGTGGTGAAGCGTTCTCACTCCACTCCAACAGTTTAAATACGGATAAACTATAAATACTCATAAGTATGAGTTTAGTTTCTGTTGAAAAATCCCATAAAAATGTCACCATGAATACTATGACGTTTCATTCCTTACTATACTATGACTTGTTTATGCCCTAATTGTACAATTGTGCATGTTATTACTGAAAAGCAGAACCTGTGAGTGAAGTAAACCCTGACCGGTGTGAGAAGGCGTAAACACCTGATGTACTGAAACTTTTCCTTCTCTCCATGTGCAGTGGCTCCAGTTGACCATGTACGCCTAGAAAGGCACATCTTCTCCCAGGTGAGCTCCACTCCACACGAGGACCAGACCTGCCAGCCTTTACCTCAATATTCAGTGTGACCGAGCGCCGTTAGCTCTCATCCACCTCCTCACCTAAAGCCTCCCCCCCCCCTCCCATCCCTCCCTCCCTCCCTCAATCCCAACAGCTCTGCTCTTTCCGACTCCAACATGTTCAACATGCTTCTTCCAGTTTATCTTTCCCACTTCTCTCTTTCTACAGTCGGTCTCAGGCCTTTTGGAATTTCCTTCTCTGCCTTTGTCCTCCCATTATCATCAGAATATCAGTCTCCTATCAGTCAGTAGCTCTGTTTTGATTTTTTTTTTTTTTTTTTTTTAAAGACAACCCTTACCTTGTACCGTACTTCTCTCAGGCATCAAACACACACAACCTCCTTTTTTTCTGTCACAATACCTCACAGAGCCTCCTTCAACCACCACCCTGTGTTATCTTCTTCTTCTGTTATCAAACTGAGCAGCTGTATCCATTCCAGTGAACTGGGCTCTCTGGTGGACGATGAATAAACTTGTGAATCACTCTTACACCTGTTACATTTCTGACAGCACGAGCGACAATATCTATAAGATTTCAGACCTGACCCTGTTTCTCATTCACTTATTTTTGTCATTAAAATAACACCCCCTGGATTTATTGTTGGCCTAGAGTAACACGTTAGTTCGTCTCACCCCCACTAGCGTCAGTTCTGGGTGCGAGCCACCTTGTGTGCTCCGGCCCTGTGGATAGCGCTCCCTGGTGGACAAACTCAGGCGTCTTCTGTTCATCTCAGCTCCAGCCAGCATGAATCCAACCCCCCCGCCCCGCCCCACCCCCCCAACAAATGTCCAGTCTGCCAGTCGTTCAGCTCTGCATGTGGATGGACGAGATTAAAGGACAAAGCTGTGAAGCCGACGAGTTTTTTTTTTTTTTTTCCTTCTTAACACCGATGTTCAAATATGGATTAGAAAGAATATGGCTGAGGGGTTGGACTGCAGCTTTTTGTGATTTTTTTTTTTTCTTCCTATTAAGGCTTTGGTCTAATGAGTGTTCTGCATTTTTAACCATTTTAATCAAATAAATAAATAAATGTGTAGTTACTGGTTTGACTGTGTTACCAGAAGGTTTGATGTGATTTGTGGTGTTTCTCTGATGCATAAGATTTATTTTAAATCAGAATATAAATCAAAAACACAGTAAAGACACAGAAAATTGGTTCATAATGTTGCAACATTTTTTTTTTATTTTTTTTTTTATTATTATTATAATTAACAATTTCTTGGATTGCACTTTCATAAAAAAGATCCGGTCACAACAATGATAAGAACTGAAAAACGTGAAGAAACTCAGGGAATGCCAGGTACTGGAGGTGAACTGCACGCTTTGCTCGGTCATAAATAACGAGTGTGAGACGAGAGTTTTCTTCTTTTTTTTGGAAGTTGGCGGCTGCGAGAACATCAGGTTAACAAATCCTCCAACGAGGACACAACCACGGGAGAGTAACCACACAAAGTCTGCTAAAGAGAGCATCCGCTGGGCTTTAACACCGGTTAAAAAAGGTTCAATGTGCCTTTTTAAAAGAAGTGGCGTTGCGTTACCAACTTGCCTGTTTAAGGGGTGAGGTATGGCATGGGAGATGAATCCTAATTCTTCGCTTTTCAAGCTCTTCCATTGAACACCTCCTGTAAACATCCTTCACCTCCTCACTTCATTAGAAATCTCTTCACTGTGGGGGAAACACGGCTCCACGACCTTCGGCTCGATGCTCCGAATATAAAATAAACTAAAATAAACACCACTTCCAGGGAGGAAGCGGTGTCGTAAAAACAGTACTTCACACTCACTCATGGAAAACAGAGAGTTCCTTAAAGCACTCTGTCGACAGTTACAAGGAATAAACCCACACAGATAAACGCATGTAGGAATACGCACGCCACCACGTCCACGTCTTGGTTCTGTTATCACTGCAAATGTAAATTCTCAAATGGCAACCTCAGGCCAAGTCACACAACACTGCACCAAAGTCCCTCAACACCTTTAAATCGCCTGAATGAGCAACAAAAAAAAAATAAAAATAAAAAAATAAAATAAATCCAAACCCCGCTACCAAAAACAAAAAAGCGGGTTCCTCTGAAAATAAAATAAAAGCCAAACCAAAAATAAATAAATTCTGTCACTTCAATGAAACTCCTTCAAAAACATTGATTCACACTGTTGAACTACTAACCAGGGAGACTACACCATGACCTTTCTGAAAACTTTAAATCATAGTTGTTATAAACTTTGAGTGAATAATGGATAACTTCATAAAAGAAAACAAAAAAAAATAAAAAATAAAAAAAATAAACCTAAACTATAGGTTGCTCAACATGACACATCACAACTGCACAACAACAATAAAAACACCTTTTAACCCATGCCATATTGTAGCCAACCAATCAGGAAGAACGACTATTGGTTCTGTTGCAGTTTCAAAAGAAAAGCAGAACAAATCTCTCTGACACCGGCAGCGCTGAAGTTTCTTCAGTTAACAAAAAGTCACGTTTTTTTTTTCTTTGTCTTAACTTTGGTCAGTGAAAAGAGGAACTGCAGTGGTCGGACAGAAAGAGAAGAAGGAGGCATGTTTTGTAGAAAAGAAAAAAAGAAAAAGAACAACAGCACAGCCAACCCTCCTTTCGTGATTGTATTACAGTTGGTTTCCAACACCGAACATAAAGGATGGAGTCGTCAGACGCCACTCATCAGGCTCCAACAGGAGCGCTGCTAAGTTAAGTGGGTCCCAAGAACATCCCCCCCAATATGGGAGGTTAACAGGAGGAGGGAGGGAGGGAGGGAGGGAGGGAGGGGGGCAGGTGAAGGTAGCAGGAAAGGGAAGAGGGCTCAGGAGGAAACAGTGTTCCCATCACCGGCCCTTAAGGCTCCAGTTCAATCTCCTCCTCGGCGTGTTTCCGCATGTGCACCAGCATCCCCTGCAAGACGGAAACAACAGATGATCAATATTTTCATGATCCCTTCATTTCATTCAGTCACCAGGGCCCAGGTAAACGCCGTCTTTCCTCTGATCAACAGTATAAAACCCGATCCTCGATCCAGACTAAATGAACCGCGGGTGTCAAAGTGGCTAAAATAAGAGTTGGAATCTAAAGTTTTTCTTTACCTGCTTGGGGCTGTTGCGTGTGCAGATAAACTCTTCACAGTTTTTCCAGCGGCACTTGAGCGTCTGCGAGCTGACGCTGGCGTGGTCGTTGATCAGGTGCTGCTGCAGATGCCCCGTCACCCCGAAGACCAGCGAACAGCCGTGCCACTGTCAACACACGACAACACCGTTAGAGACAACACACTCTGCAAGTCTGCAGACAAGTCCCCGGACAAACACAGATGACATGGCCTCATGTTTACATTTTTCTAGGACCATAAACCGCAATCCGCCTTCTCTTTCCTACGGCTATTTAAAGGGATAAAACGCTCCAACAACAGAATAGAGACTCTTCTGAATCATCTGAATAAACTTCGTCCATCTCCCTCTCAGTTCTGCTCCCTCTCCCTCTTCTCTTACCCAGCAGCGGTAGTTCTGCATCAGGTTCAGTTTGACGGCCTGCACGCTGCCATCGTAACAGCCTGTGTAGATCTGAAACAAACAACAGAAAAGCCTTTCTTTACTTCTACATACACGTCGGAGACACAATCAGAAACCATGAAAACATGAAAAGGTCCATTTTCTTTGCGAGTAGCTCTGGGGCGAGTCGGTCTCTCACCATGTTCTTGTGGATAGCCATACACATCACCATGTCCTTGTGTCCACCATAGACCTGCAGCTGGTCGTGAGACTGCGGAGGGAAGAACAGACAGAAGTTAAGTCGTGGAAATAATGTCGGGAGTGAGACAGAAGCTCGAGCCGATGAGAGAAAGCGGATGAATCTGTTCAAGGATGCGGACCTGCAAGTCGTAGACCCGGACCAGTTTGTCCAGGCAGGCGGTCACCATCACCTTCCCCAGGATGGACACCACAGTAACAGCATGACTGTGACCTTTATAGACCCGCACCAGCTCTCCTGTCTGTACAGACAAAACACAGTGTGACTCAACTGCACTGTGAACACGGCGTCTGGTTTTCAAGATTCCCATTTCCCAGAATTATAAAACACGAAACCCCCCCCCGCTGTGTTGTGTATAAAGAGATAAAGAAGGGCGACTCACGTGGATGTTGTGAGCGTAGACACACTGATCACTCGAGCCACTGAAGACCAGATCGTTGACCACCTGAGAGAACGAGAGACAAACAATCAGGAAATAATCTGAAAATGAAACGTAAAACATGAAAGAATCTAAACTTGAAATAGGCGGAGCGTCTCACTGTTGAAGCTCCAGGTTCCAGGTGACACCTACCTTCATGCAGAGGACAGTCTTGGTGTGTCCCTCCAGCGTGCGCAGCAGGAGTCCGTTCTTGGCGTCCCTCACACTGATGGTGTTGTCGTAGGAGCCGACCAGCAGGATCCTGCGGGCTCCCTCCTGCGACGAGGCCAGACAGCTCACGGCGCGCGGCCCGTGACACTCGAACACGTCCATCTGCTTGTTTGTCTGAACGGAGGAAGTGCGCGTTACAATTTTCAAATAGCCTCACATCATCCGCAGCAGCAGCAACTTGTGGTTGCGGTGCAGTGCTTTTCTCTCACCTTGAGGTTAAAGGTCACGACCGTGCCGTTCGCCAGGCCTGCGTACAGAGTCCTCCAGCGGCTGTGAAGGCAGAGGACTCGGTCTGACAGAGAAAACTGCTGCTCGAACTCTTGAGTCTGTGGACATGAAGGAAAACATCAAAAAACTGAACCATCGCGTCTCTTCGATGCAGCTTATACGTCTCTCAGTGCGGTTCACAAAACGTGGCAGGTATTTAGCAGAAGAAGAAGAAGGAGGATGTGTGTTTTTACCCTGAGACTGTAGCAGCGGATGGTCTGATCACTGGAGCCGGTATAAAGGCGATGATGCAGGCAGGGAGTCGCAGACACCAACAGGCAGCTCACTTTGGAGCTGTGACCCTCGAACACACCGACACATTTATGACTCTGCAAACAACAAGAGAAGAAAGACTCTGTTGTGGCGCTCACTGAAATATCAATAAGAGATATTAACGACATTAAATACTGCGTGTCCGTCGGGGTTCGTCAGCACCCACCACCAGGTCGAAGGCTTTCACAGTCCGGTCTCCTGAGCACGTGTACAGCAGCCCGTTGTGGATCTGCACGGCGTTCACCGCCTCCTGGTGGCCCTCGAACGCGCCCTCGGTGGGAATGTCGTCCTCGCCGTGGTCAGAGGACGCATCTGGGAAACACACAAAAAATACGATAAGATAAACTATGTATGCTTTTTAATTTATTTTACTTTTATTTTTTTTGCCTTCATTTGTCTGTTTAAGGGCGACCAATAAACAGGTGCAGATTTCTTCTTCTCTAAACTTTAAAATTTGTTTTAAACGGATCAAGGTGTCAAGTTTTTCTCGAGTTTCTTGGTAAAAAAAGTTCACATAAGTTTTGTCTGTTGTTATCGTCTTTAACACAACTTCAACATCTCTCCTCTAAAAACAAATGTCATCAGTCTCTTTGTTTTTCTAAATGGAGGGCGGAGCCTGAAGATCCACAGAGAGGGGGGCGGAGCAGCGATCAATATTCCACAGGTTAAATATACTTATTCTGAGAAAGTCGTGTCCATTCATCACAGCCGTTAACGGCTCTATGAATATCTTGACCATAAAAAGGAACTGAGGAGCTTCAGAGTCTATTTTCATTTGTTCAGAGAGCGCGACGTTTCTAATTCTGGCTGCTCACGGCGTGACGTGTATGTTTGGTTATGTGCTCAAACTTCTAATTTCTCTCTGCTGATTTGATGATGGGACGATAAAAACAAACATATTTTCTCACTTTTAATAAATGCTATTACTTTATTTATAGTTAAGTATATGAAATATAAGGAAGAAGGAAACAGCAGAAGCAAAGAGGAAAACAGTGTTTCATGCAGTAAGTAAATAAGTTAAGCTGCTAAGAAACTGTTAGAAGTGTTTGTCGGATGGTCGGATAATTTCAGAAACACCCTCCCCCCCCTCTCATCTTTCCAGCGTCGTGATTGGCCAGCTGTGAGGAGGTGAGAAAAGCTTCTCTCTCTACGTTTTTCACTCTTGACACAATTATTATTTCCGTCACTTTTCAGGTGAAGAGACTGTCGCACGTCTCAGCTTTTCACTCCATGATTTCCCACGAGCTCTGACACTTTGTACAAACTAGTTCTGCTCAAGCAGGTAAAAACTCTCTGGAAATGAACGTACCTGATGAGGTCTTCGTTATCTTGGGCAACGTGACTGGAAATGGCATGTCACTGTGGGGGGAGAGAAGGCGGTAAAGATGAAATGATTTGCTTTTTGACGGGCCAAAGTTGAATCTAGATGATCCGTGATTAGACTCCGTAACACAGGTCATAACCCGTCTGCGGCACCATCGTGAACTCTGACCTCTCTGCTGCTGCTGCTGATTTTGGAAAATTGCACTATGAATATGTCTTTGTGTTGTGAGTGAATAATGAATGTGTGGCTCGTGTCCCTTTAAAACAAAAATGTAAAGCGTCTCACCTCTCAGAGGATTTACATATTTCCATGTCGCTGGTGGAGGTGACCTCGTTGCAGGCCAGGCTCTGTGGCTCAGGACCGGAGGAGTCCGGGATCTGGACTGGAGCGGGAGCTGGAACCAGGGCGTCCATGTGAGGCTGCTGACAGGCTGCCGTGACCTCCATGCTTTCCTCCGAGTCTAAGTTCGGCGTCAGCTCGGCGGGCGCCACCTGGGGGAGCTCCACCATGTGTTTGGAGGAGCTGCGGTCTCCTCTCTCCGGTCTGAGGGTCGGACACGGCATCTTACGCACGTCCTCGCTGCTCTCCATGTTCAGGTCGCCCTCTCTGTCTTCTGTGGGCAGAGTGGAGGTGCTGACCTGGGAGCCTCCACTGGGTCTCCGGCGAGGTCGGAGCCACCTGGGCCTCGAGGGCTCTCCGTCTATCTCGGTGTCGCTGCTCTCGGGCTGCTCCGTCCCTTGAGCCTTCTTCAACACCTTCCTCTTCTTCAGTTTCCTCACGCGCTTCCCGCCGCTCAGTTCAGACGGCGAGCCGGGCAGATTGAGGACCGAAGGCGCAGAGGGAGGCTCAAAGGTCTTTGTGGCAGCACAGTCGACAACGCTCCCCACCTCAGAGCCCCTCCTGCTGGGTGACAGAGGCTTTATGGAGGATTTAGAGTCAAGCAGAGGGGTGAGACAGCTTATTGTTGTCTGTATGGCCGTTGTCTTAGCCAATCCCGACAGGCCGTCTTTGTCTGCAGGCTCTACAAAGTTCTCCCAAATATGTTCTGTGTGCATCTGGTAGAGCTCAGGCTTTCTTTCAGGAGATGGCTGGAAGTTCAGGGCAGAATCTGCAAAGAGTTTCACAGGCACACGGATCAGTGACATGAACACAACACACTATTTTCCCCTTGAGTTACTGCACTCATCTAAATGTTAAAAAAATTTGGTTTATAAAAATCTATGAGTGTGTGATTATAATGTGCATTAAGCTACGTCCTGACTGCACAAGTACAGTGACCCAAATCTGATAGGGACCACTTCCTATCTCAGACACAGATCTTTTGCAATGCGACCTCAGTCTGAACAGTCATATCGGAATCAATGCGACTTTCCATGTGACTTCCATGCTGCTTAAAAACATTTCTCCGTAGCTTCAGAAACTCCAGAGCGACGAAATTCAAATCAACGTTACCTGTCGGGGAGGCTGCAGCGGGAGCGACAGGCAGCTCCGGTGTGGTGCTGTGAGCGCAGTGGGTGATACTGTCCAGAGGGTCCAGCTCGGAGCTGACGTGGACAGGAGACTGGGGCTCCTGCTTGATAACGACAGGCAGGAAGGGGAGGCTGGAGGATGGAGGGGAGGCGCGCTGAGCAGGAGGACCGGGACTGGGGGAACCGCCAACGTCAGCAGAGTCCGTAATGGAGGAAAGCGTAACAGAGGAGGACAGGTGTGGGTCTGTGTCTATGAAATCCATCCTCTCCTCTTTCAGTTTGAGCTGCGGTGCTTCCTCCATGCTGCCTGTACAAAGAAACACGTAACAAAAACTTAATTCCACTGGTTATTTCAGTTTATTTCAGAGCCTGAATGTAATGTAATGTATGTCTTCAATGATTACAACCAGTGTTACGGTCAAACAGCTCTAATAAGGAACATATGTTCCTACCTTGCATCCCTTTGAGTAACTCAATGCGCTTGTTTCTCAGTGAGCTCATCTCTACCGTCACCTGAGAAACACAGAAACAACCGAGAACGTCAGACGGTGAATATTGTTGCTCAGAAGTGAGAAATATTGAGATAATTATAATGATAATGATAATTACTTTAGAGCAAGGAAAATAAGGGGCCTAATGAAAAGACTGATTTACCATGTAAAACCTTTTGGGTGAAGAGAGACATTTTCTTTTTACCTGCTGTTTAACCACCATGAGACGCTGCACCTCCATGTAGGCGGCCTCCAGTGCAGCCCGGGCCTGGATCAGGCTGGTGTCCACAGTCTGCAGGGAGCGGCTCAGCTCTTCCTCCCGCAGAGACACAGCCAGCAGCTGGTCGATCTGTAAACGCTCTGCGCAGAGAACGGACGACACTTCAGAACCATCGTGTATTTGTGCTGCCAAATTGTCAGTTCTGTATTTGGTGTATACGTGGATTCATTATTTATATTATCATTATAATACGTATTAAGAAATATAATAATTATAAATATTATTAATCAAAGATACTGACCTTTTTTGGATTTGACCCTCCGTCTTTTGCTATTGTGTTCCACACAAGACGTTTCTGCACTCGGAGCGTCCTGCAAGAAGAGACAGACAAACCGTCACATCCTGCTTCGGATACAAGTAATTACAGTTACATTACAGTTCAGTTGGGGAGTTGTGGTGTGGTGAGCCGCAGCCTGTAGGAGCGCGCTACAGAGGTCTGCTAAGATCACCTCTTTCTAACTTCACTCCCCCAGATTTTAAACGGACTCTGATGTGTAGAATTGGTGCAGTTTCTTTTACTCACCCCAGCTGCTCTTCGCCTCTTCCCCGTCCCCTGACCGTCAAACTGCTCCGTCCCTGAACTGCTGTCCCCGAGCACAGAGTCCGATCGCTGGAGGGCCTTCACTGACGCTGACGTTAGCTTGTCGGGCTGCTTCTGTGCTTTGGCCTCAAACTGGCCGAGCATCTGCTCCACCTGCTGTTGACAGTGACTGTCTTTGTTCCCCTGAGCGAGCGCGGGAGACACAGAGGATACCTGCTGCTCTGAGCTGAGGCTTTCTCTTTCCGCCATCTCCTTTGACAGGAGGGATGTAAAGAGGGAGGGAGCGGAGGCCGGGGCGAGGCTGCTCTCTGATAAGGAGCGTTTTCGGGAGGCACCCGGAGAAGAGATGTCTATCAACGACTCCCAGTGCAAACCCTCCAGCAGGGGAATGTCGTCCTCCTCCTGGCTGTGGTCCTCCTGCTCGTTTGGCACCATCTCGATCCCAAACCTGGAGAATCGCAGAACATAACATGAGCCTGAAACAGCTGAAAGCAAAAAAAAAAAACCTAACCGTGAAATCTAAATGTAGATCAAAAGCTCACCTCGGCATGCCTTTCCCCTTGTCCTGCTTCTTCCTGACCTCCTGATACACCTGCTCCCAGTTCACGTTGCGCCGAGACCCGGAGGAGCTGATGAGCTGCCGCACCGTCGGTTTGAGGCCCGAGTCCTTTTCTGTGTCGCTTCTCCGTGACTCGCTCAGGTTTCGCACCCGTCTGGCGATGTTCAGGTTGGGCTCGTGGTTTCCTGTTTTGCTCTTCGAGCTGATGTGTTTGGTCAGGTCACGCTTTAAGACGGGAGGCAGGTCAAGTTTGGACAGACTTGTTGTGTTTGACCCTGAGACCGTCGGCGCCTCACCGCTTCTGGAGGTGTCACTCTCTGAGCTCTGCCCTGCCTCGACAGCCTGCATGGCTTCACCCGGGGCAACTGAGCAGGTTGGCTTCTCCGCTTTCTTCATCTTCTCCTCATCTTCCCTGCCGGAGGCCGCGGGCTCTGAGCTCTCCATGGTAGACGTGCTCACTTGTAACGACTGCAGAAACTGGCTGCTGTCTGAAGACTGCAATGCAGGCTTTTCTGGCCTGACTAAGTCAGGAAGATTTGGTTTAGCAGCATTCTGCCTGCAGCTGTTTTCTTTGTTGACTCCGATCTGACTCTGAGCGTGATCCCTCTGCTGCTCCTCCGCAATGTGCCGCGCCATCTCTGTCTTGTTGTCACTGGAGCTGTCCAAAGAGCCTCTCTTTTCTAACATAATCCGTCTTACTTTCCAGAAGGTTTCTGACAGCTGCCGTTCTTGATTTGATTTCAGGGGCCCAGCAGATGGAGCCTTAGAGCTGAGTCCACTCTGCTTTGCATTTGCAGTTGGCTTTGATTGTGCCTGCGCTTGACCGGAGGCCTTACTGAGCTGCGCTCCACTGCTGAGACCAGGAACTGAGGACATCTTCTTATCCTTCTGCAGCAGAGGCTTATTGTCCTTCTGGTTGGAAGGACCAGATGTGCAGTTCTGGGGGCCTTCTCTCTGAGCACTGCTGCTTCTACTGCCGCTGCTGCTCCTATCTCTGGGCTTGGTTTTGGGACTTGTTTTATGTGTCTTTTTCTCTTCCACACTAGGAGTCGACTGCCCTTGTTTCTGCTCAGGTCGGGACAGCCTGTTAAAGGCACTGGTGTCTGGTGCTTTGTCTTGCTTCTGGGGCTTGGGGACTTTGGGGTGCTTCTCTGATGAGTTCGGGTTGGAGTCTTTATGGGACACGGATTCAAAGCCCTTTGTGACTGGATAGGGCGACCAGCGAAAGGTCTTGTCCAGCTTTGGATTGCTACCAAAGTTCTTAGAGTTTTTATTACTGTTGTGGTCAGACTCTGGAAGTTGTCCCTCTCCATTTTGAAGCCCACCACCCTGCTGAGCTCCCTGGTCATTGGCTGTCTTTTGAAACTGGTTCAAAGTCCGGGAAAAGAAACTGGGGGGAGGTGGACACGTCGGAACAGGCCCCAAGAGGCTCAAGGGCCGGCCCCTTTGTGGGTACTGGGAAATATTGTTGTGGCCGTAGATCCCATTACTACTGCCGCCGCTGCTGAGCCAAGGCAGTCGACTTTGTTGATTGCCAGAAAACCCGCCCTGATCCCACTGCCTCCTGTTCCAGCCTTCCTGGTTATTCAAGCTCCCACCAACAATCTCTTCAGACGACCATTTCTGAAAGTTGGGGGGCTCCTGAGCGTGCCAGGTGGCGCTCTTTCCCTGTCTATTATTGTGCCAGGGTCGGGGGTCCCCCGGTTTGGCATTATATCTGTTGCTCCTGTACCAAGAACTGTGCTGACCAGATCCACCGAACCCCTGTGACGGCTGCTGCCAGGCGCACTCCAGTCGGTATCGCTGCTTGGCTTCTTTTAACCTCTGCTGAAACTCCTCCTTTCTCTTCCGGTCCTCCTCTTCTTTTGCCAGCTTTGCAGCAGCCGCCTCCTTCTCTTTTCTACAAACAACACATACAGATAAGAACCCGGTTCCCACTTTATTAGGTACACCTGTGCAATCTATTGCATGGAAGACACCTGGCGCTATGATGCAGTCCAGTACAACACCACCTTTAAACTAAAGGTAGAGTTTATGACAGACCAGTTGCATTGAATAGGTGTATCTCATAAATAATAATTGCGCTACACAGCATCATGTCCAACCAGCAGCTGTTCACACGAACAAATAGACAGATGTGTAAATAGGCAAATGTCAACTTGAAAGGTGGTGTGAAATGTATAATGAAGGGTTGAGTTCACAGCTTGTTTCTGTCGCCCACAAGTGGCCCGAAAAAAAATCATTGAGGGTAAGCTCAAGACGCATTAAAATAAAGCTAATTTCAGATGCATTTGAATCTGTTTAACAAGATGTAAAAGGTTTCCCTGGCAACCGTGACCCTAGGGTTGGTTCACACAGTGTGACCTACAGCTCTGACCTCTGACCTGCGGAGGGAAAATATCTGACATGTGACGGGCCGACAGCTGAACGCCAGCTTCACCACACATGTCACACTTTCCCAGCTGCTCCGCTCAGACATTTGCTCTGAGGTTTCCGGTGAGACAGTGAGATCAACACTTGTGTGTTTTCAGGAAAATAAACAAAGAAAAGCATCACATGGTTTAGAGCGAAGGTTTTCACTTTTGTTTTTCTGCTTCTAAAGGGCAGAAATCTTGGGTCTGAACTTTATGTGTGCAGTCATGCTTTTTTTTTTTTTTTTAGGCTGCGGTCCTGACATTCGACTCCAGACACCGGTCAACGTGAAGCAGCAGCTAAAAGAGTCTGGTGAGCACCGCCGAGCAGAATGTGACTATACATGGCGTACAGTGTGTACACACACACACGCACGCACACACACACACAACAGTTTGTGAGCACTCACCTATCTTTACCTTTGTGGTTTAATCATGAAATCAATATTAAAATATAGACTAGGATTAAGCTATTAGAATAAACAATAAGCAAACTTTTTTAAATAAAAAACAAAGACTTTGTAATAGTCCTACTACATTTATAACAATATATTTATTATGTAAACTGTAGACTGCTACAGACCTACTAGTCAACTTTTCTTTGTTTTAAAGCAACAGTCCTGACTATTATTCCTCCAGCTCAAAACCCTAATAACATCAAAAAAACGGTCTCACCTGATCTGTTCTTTCCTCTTTTCAATCAGGTCCGCCAGCGCTTGGTCGAAGTAGTCCTCCTCGTGGTCGTTCCCAGCGTGCTTTTGTTCCGCAGCCTCCACATTCTGCTTGTGCGTGGGACTGGAAATGTGGCTGGCATAATCAGTCAGGCTCACCACCGTCACCTTGCACACTCTGCACTCGTGTCCGCAGTCCCTGGGGAGGGAAGGCGAGAGCGGGCGTTCAATCGTTCCTTCAGGCATCTTTCTGATCTAGTCTGGTTTGGTTTTCCTGCCTGCAGAGCCCTGTAACGACGCGCTCTGGCTCTACTTTCTGTTACTTCAAAGTCAAAATGAAATCAGGAGAGGAGAATACTCAACAATCCTTCAAAAAATAAAATAACTTGTCCAAATTCTCTATCCGTCACAGATCAGGAGGTAGCTAACTTATAATTTGCTCTTAATAATATAAAAAGTTAAAATCTTTATCATCCTGATCTTGTTTTTTCCTTTCTTCAGAAGGCCATAGGTGGCGGAGTGAGGGCAGGAGCAGCCAGGCTGGACCCAGGCAGCATGCTAATCTAGCTGTTTACGTCCAGCCACCACGAGCGGCCGTGCAGCGCAGCACTGGGATGCGTGGAGGGGAGAGAGGCACGGTGCCCTCAGCCTAGTGCCTTGTCATGATGGTGTCTGCTGCGCTCTGAGACTCTACAGAAGGCAATGTCTGTATTTGACCTCACACTCCCGTCTGAGAGCTAGAACCCAACCCCCCTCCGGACCAGCATGTGCTATTAGAACAGGCCTGAGCATCCTACTGACCAATCCCAAGCAACGCCTGTGTAACTGGAGCCTTGTGCAGCTGCTCGCCGCCTCCACTTCAAAACCTCTCCCAACTATGTCACCCGTGATTCTGATAGGGGCAGTGACTTTGCTGGCTCCTTCTCAATTTCTTTTTCATATCTGTGTCATGGCATCCTGCCATTTTCTGACCTCTCGTGCAGTTGGCAATCTCTTTATCAATAAGATAGGGTTACCTTTTTTAGTTTGATACGTTTCTACTCAGCTATGTCTGAACTTAAGCTTCAGCCATCCCATCCCTGGAGTGGCAGTTTCCTAAATCATCGCACTCTTGTGAAACTACCGCTCTTCTTTCTTAATTCCAGAACCTGGCACTTGCTAAAAACTGCTCATATTAATTTTTTTTAATGTTTAAAAAGATGCTGTCTTTGCATGTCAGTGTTTATGTTAATGTAAATCCCTGTAACTTAGCAACAACTCAGGACCTGAAAAAGCACTTGCACTACCCGAGATTCTTCCAAGTCAGCAACGGGCCGCATACTTTTAGTAATCTACATGGGAGTCACAAGATAGCCAGTTGCCTTCTATCGGTCATGCCTGTTGTTCCGGAGAGATTGTGTCTAAATATATGTGCCACAGTTGAGACAGCTGCCCCTATATCCTCTTCACCAACACGTGCCCATGTGCACACGTGCCTTGTGACCCAAATGGATTTAGACAAAACTCCTGAATCAAAGTCAAAGCTTTTGTTTTACCGATATATGTTCACTCAAAAAATACTGTGTACAGAGTAAAATGCATAGTCCAGATTATTTGGGAAATAAAACGCTGGAGTAATACTCATTTCTGCAACACATCAATGTGATTTTTACAGTCATTATACTGTGATTTTTGGAGTCATACTATTTGCAATTCCATGATATCTATGCATGTTTTTTTTTTTGTTTTTTTTTTGGACAAACATAACAACAACTCACCGGCCTTTGAGCTTCTCCAGCTCACGGTGGTGCAGCATAGACCTCATGTGCTCATCCATCTCCTGCACAGACCAAATGAAAATAAAACTTTTCTTTCAGGCGTCCACAAACACATCAAAACACTTAAAGTTTCTACGTTTAGCTAGGCCAGAGATAACACTTCCCAAGAGAGGGATGATACATGTCCCAGAAATGTAGGTGATTTATAAAAATGTTATACATGTTATACACATATATAAGTATAATGTTATATAATGTTGATTATTAGAAAAGGAAGTTAAAGGTAAGTATAATAATTCTTTATAAAATTACTTAAACACATAACCATGTGTACCAAATAGTCTAGATATGTGTGCAACAACTTGACAACAGAAAATATACGTCATATGATAATGTTGTATTCAATAGAAGTATAATCCTCAATGTTACACAGCTCACGTAACTTGAGTATTTATGCGTAAACCAGTTACCTGCTTGGAGACGTGGACTGTTTCACAGAGGATGCACTTTCTGTCTCTCGCCATTTTTAATGCAGGTGGATCTCAGCCTGTTACTGTCAATAGAAAAAGTGTATTAAAGTGAAAGGACTCATCAAGAGCTTAAAATCACAAAGCAACAAGTTCTGTGATACCAGCCTGAATTATACACAGTGTGGTGCAACTGTATGTTTGTAATTGAGATCATAGCAACAAGTCAGACAAATCCAACCAGCACAGTGGAGGGAGTTTACAGCTTATTTTCTCTATACAACCACACCTCGCTATTCAACAACATGCCTCAGTACCACAGCCCAAATGCCACGGACACGGCTCAACCTGGACACTGGTCTAATTCCAGTCTGCTGATAGAGCAACTCTGTGGTCAGGAGGCAGTAGAGCCACTGCAGCATCAGGGGGGGGCTATGTCTGGACGTGTTTGACGTTCACAAACAGGGTGGGAAACGAACGCCGACCACGGGTTAACTGCTTGGTGAAGTTATGCCTGTGGCTGTTAGGTACTTCTACACTAACAACACCTTCTCAAGATACAGCCGACCCCATGGAGGCCTTGTTCTGTTCCAACACGTTCATAGTTTATGAATTTGGGGACGAGTAAAATGTATAAATAAAAGTTTGAGAAAACATCTGCCTCCTTTGTAATACCGCTCAGTTGTCTAAAACAAAACTATGACGAAAAATAAAAAGGAAAACATTCTTCCGATCGCTATTATTGAAGTTTTAAGAATTTAACTGTAAAATCTGCATTCAGAGAGAGAAATACTGGAAGTGTACATGCATCTGACTAAATCCAGAAAGGACAACGATACCTAAACATTTAAAGCAGCCCAAGTAAATAATTTACTGATCTAGGCAATGTTTAGGCAACACAGACTGTCATGACAAATCAATCTAACTTGCAGTTAAAGAACATAGTGTCGTTAAAGTATACAAAATCAGCTTTTGCTAAATAAAATCTGGCAGGTATCAGAGACAAACAAAAGACAGAGACAGTAAGTTAAAAACAAGTTGTGCAACACTCATCCTGTTAGAAAACTCTCTTCAATTCTGGTTAAAATCTGAACATTTCAGCTAAAACAGCCTCAGGATTCTTATACCTAAATGTTTCTAAAGATTGTGTCTCAGTTTTTGGTCTCTTTGACCTGAAAGCTAATATACTTGAAAACACTATGCATTCAACAGAAACTTAAAACCAATTTATTTATTTTTTTACAAAAGTCAAATGTTTTGTGCCGCCTTTCTTCTCATATTTTTAGACAGTGCCTTGTTTCCATCAGTCTGAGCACAACTTTCCGAGCAGTAAAATAGCAAAGTTAAATACAGAGTAAGCGTAATAATAACCACAAATAAGGTCTGGAGATCCCATCACCCTCATTAGTTTTAGGCTTATATTCTGTTCATGACATTATGGAGACCGTTACAATACCCCCATCACTATTTCTCTTCAGTGCAAAGGCACCAGAGGGCAGCTATTTACAGTATAACTTTAGTAGGATCCCTGGGTCATGTTCCCTCTCAGGCCATGTAATCTCTAGGGGGCAGCAGGCAGGACAGTGTTATACACCCAGTTAATTCCCAAACAGTGATGTTAGCTGCTCGTGTTAGTTGCTGCATCTACGGAAAAACGATCAAAGCCATGCAAGTGTTCAGGTAAATGATAGTTTGATGTGGGATTAGTTTAGAAAAGGATCAATCGTCACTGAGCTTTCTTCTGCTCGTGCAAACACTGAAAAGGACAGTTGACTTTAAAGTTAAATAAAACATTTTGATCACCACATAATGTAAATCCAGGTTCAAAGCTACCTTGCACTGAATGCTTGCGGATTCAGAGAGAGACAACAAAAGCGCGTCTGCCCAAATAATTTGAACAACACTCACTTGATAAGTTAGCTGCTAACAGTTAGCTACTTGGTGCAGAAGTTTAACACAAGTCGCATAATAACATCTGAACAATTGGCATTATCATAGCAAGTACATCAAGCGTTCTTTAGTTAGTAACCGTCGGCAGCTGCTACAACAAGTTTCTATTTACAGTTCAAAAGAAGCTTGTGATTAACTTAGTTTTGATTGTTGTTAGCCTAGCTGCTCGGTTAGCATAAACGTTCATGTCTCCTTAATCTTTAAGTTAAAGAGCAAACAAAAGGGTCAACAGACAGTCCGGCTGCATGAGTTATAAACGGTTAAAACGAACTTCAGCTGCTGAAAGAGTTAAGCTCAACTTCTCTACTTGAGCTGGTAAGTAAAAAGATTTAACTAGTGGGTTAGCAGGCTAGCAACAGCATGCTAGCCAGCGACACCAACGAAACACAAACGTATTCAGTTAAATTGTTGCTAATTACAAATGCGACAGGGAGTACAGCTAAGACGTGATGTTTTAATACGTTGTAAGTAATGAGACATGACTGTTGGCTACCTTTATAACATCCAAATGTGTGTGGGGCTACAGCATTTTCTCATCCACCGCTGGAGCTAACAATAACATCCACCTCGACCCCCAACTGAACTACAACCCAGGATGCGTTCAAGAACATCGATGTGCAGGAAAACCGGACACCGCCTAAAAGGCTTGGCTGAAAGGTGAGGTCTAACTGTACAGTTTTTGTAATTGTTATGTGTTGAGAACGAATACTGACCATTTACTTAAGTAAGACTACTACTATCATACGGTAAAAACACTTTATTACAAATAAAATTACCGCACTGAAAATGTTACTTAAGTAAAAGTGGGAAAATGTACTGAAATTGCTCAATACAGTACAATGTCCCCTGTGACTGTTGTATTATTATACATTATACCATTAGATTGTTATTACTCATGCATTAATGTTTCAGAAGCATTTTATTTTTGTAGTTTTTTTCTGGTATTTTTACAAGAAAAATGATTGCTTATTGCTTCAGCTCTACTTGTATATTTTTTGGACACTATAACAAGACATCGCATTTCATAATGACTTCATATGTTTTATATACAAAAATCCGAATCTGTAAAGTAACCATTCGTTATCAGATAAATGCAGTGGAGTAAAAATAACAATTCCCTCTGAAATGTAGTAGAGTACAAGTATAGAGCAGCATAAAATGGAAATACTCAAGTTAAGAAACAAAACCAACCACCAAAAAACATTAGAACTGTTTTACGGCATTGGAGGATTTACGGCACCCGGAATATGGCTGACGTTCCGAGTTTCGACCTGTATGGAAGCCTATAGGGGACTGTATTCAAATGATAATGTAATTCCGCAATAGTAATTCCACATATGTTCCTCCTGTATACTTAATAAAAAATAAATAATAATAAAAAATTCCACATATTTAAGTGTTATTTGGCCTTTTGTGTCTTTTAAAAATAATCTGCGTCTGTAACTGTATAGTAGGATACAGTCATTGATTTAGTGTAAAGTGGCAATGGGGCTGAGGATGGACAGGTAAGAAGAGGTTGTGAGGATGTGAGTAAATCACATATTCAGATCTGGGGTTGTTCTTCACCACAAATTGTAAAATTCAAGCAAGAAAAATATATTTTTTATTTTCCAAAATCTCTAAAAACAGTGTTTGAGATACAATAGTGAACAACATCACAATTCAGACAACAATCCAAGTAAATGAACACACTGATACTTTTTTTTTTGTATAATACATATGTTAAAATCAAATATAAACAACAGTGTTTGGACACAAACAAACTCAACAGCAGAAAAATAGTTTCTGATCCCTTTGGAGTTCATACTGTTATCAAGTGGTCAGTGTAGGTAGCTATAAACCCTGTTTGGCTATTTCCATGATAATGCTTTATGACATAAACAGGATATTACTCAGCAGTGCTTTGAAACGTAGGGCACACAAATAAAAGACAAGAATATTCCTTTTAATATTATATTATCAACATGAGAACCAATCCAAAAATCCAGCAACATTTTGACCAAAGTTCACATTTTCTTAGCTGTAGACCTTTTAGACAATCAGACTCACAAACCTTCACAGCATCTTCTTTTATGTGCGTGCAAAACTGCATTTCCAGAAATATTCAGTTAGAACATATCAATCACCCTCCGTTACACTGGTACACTGAAGGCAATATTATCAATATTATGTTAGTGCCAATTATTTTTACCAGTAATCACAAAATGGTGCAACTTCTGACGTTAATAAAACACCATCATGTAGAAGTTTAAGACAAAACTCCAGATTAGTGCTTTGGAGAATCTGGATGTGGACAGATTGTGTCGTCAGGGTTTCAGCTGATTTGGTTCAGTTCCCGTGCTTTATTCCTCAGATGCCTCTTGCGCATCTTGATTATCCACTGAATAGTGAGCTTGGCAAAATTAGCAGCCTTGAAGAGAGCCATGAAGACCCCGCAGAGGATGGCTATAGAGTTCCAGGGATTTGCAGTCACTATCTGTTGTGGAAACGGGTAAAGTTGTGTTACAGACTGACAGGCTGATAAATTTCTGATGAGGATAAAGTGTCTCAGAGAACTTACCAGTCTGATTTCTTGCATGAAAGGATCCCGCCATTCAAAAACAGCAAAGAAAAGCTGATTGCTTTGCTCTGATTCAGGTCTTTTATCATTGAATTTCACCACAGTGGACTGGAAGATGTGACACAAATGCTGAAATTAATTCTTTTTTAAAATCTATTTCCGTCTTGTGATGTAAGCATGTGCACATTGGTTAGACATGAATACCTCTTGCCGAAACTCGACGGATTCATTGGTTTTCCCAGACGTCCTCACTAGAGACATCTTGACCCAGGTTCTGAATCCTCCAGAGAAGGTCCACATGGAGTAATTTCTCTCACAGTCCCTCATGAAATCTGATTTATTCGCGCTACAAGTCAGAAAACACAGGTCACACATTGGAGTAAATCTAAACGCATGTGAACATTACCACTATCACACCGGGTCAAATAACTTTCGCAAATCACTCTTTACTCTTGTTTCGTAAGGCACAAAGCAGCGGGATGACAGTGGTACTTCCAATAAGTCATCTGTCTTTTCACACAGCCGTTTACCTAATTGACTTTTACATGACACAAATACTTTGTGGTGGTTATGTAAACGACCAAGCAGTCGGTGCATTATCTGTGCTCTATGCCTCTGGAGTGTAAGCAAAACAAAACACACCAGACAAGGTATCTGCAAACACTAATGTGACCCACTTGATCGATCACAGCAGTCAGACATCACACGATCAATACTTGCTGTTTGAAGTTACCTGTTAGTCAAGTCACTAAACTTGGCAAAAAGCATGTAAGTGATGGCGCTGAAGTCCTCCTCTGTTTCATTATGACTGAACTGCATGAAGATCAACTCTTTGTTTCTGACGTCGGAGGGGCCACGGACCACCAGAGCTCTTTTCTGAGATACACAAGAGAGAGTCAGTAAAATCTAATCCAAACCCCCCCTAACCAATCCAACTCACTACTACTACCTTAAGTCAAAGAAAATGTTCTAGATACATCTAAATCTACAGCTACATGTATTTATGGCTGACCTCTTTTTGATTTGTAAATGGCCCAAAGTAATTCACTTCATCGATCAAACAGTTCCCTTCCTGAGGCTTGCCAGGATCCACTAAAGGTGGGATGTAGTCGTGGTAGTGATGTCTGCAGCTCAGCAGCTGAGCTTTGCCAGGATAGAGAGCGATACCTGTGGAGGGAAATAAAAAAACACTCAGTTCATAATGAATAACAGATCATGAGGGATTAAGACTTAAAGTACAGTAAAGCAGCAGGACAGTGAGGTCCAGCCAACTTATATCTCCATACAGTGAAGCTCATGTTCAGCATCGACGACTCAACCTACCATAAAACCTTCACTGTATGATGTAATGGTACGATTAAAGTTCATTTCATAACACCATAAACCTTTATGAGCTAACAGGAGATAGAAGTCCGGCTCAAACAAAATGTTATTGGTAGAAGCAACAAACAATTATAGATGATATAATAAAAATTGCATCGCAGTGTTTAAATCAAAAACCAAAGTGCTGTGTGACATTCACTGAACAATGAAGCCACTCAGCTCACCGTGAACCCACTTGTACAACTTCCCTGCAGTGTTGTGATATATTTATGCGCCACGGTTGAAAGTCATCTGATGATTTTGCCACTTGCAATTCATTTAAGGTTTAGAAAGTGTCAGCTTGGCCTCACATCGGTTGTTTCCTAATTACAGTAACTGACTCAGCCTGGGAACTATTTCAGGGATTCAAATGAAGTGAAACAAAATGTGATTTTCAGGCTATAGATGACAAGATAAAAACAACAGTTTAGCTTAACTAACTTGACTTTTGATGTGTTTTGAAGTAGAAAATAGTTTAAGACAATATTATAGAAGAAATAACCTAAATCTGAACACAAATCGCACATACTCACTTTTAATTCTGCCATTACTGATGTGACCTTCGCCCAAAACCACAACACTAGCCTAATAGATCATTTACCCAGCAGTCCACTCATGCCAGCTGGACCTCCAAGATTAAACATGGCTGACACGGTGTTCCTGTTCAGTTTGCATCTAGTACTTTGCAGTATTTACTCAAATACTATACTTAAGCTCACCGACCTGTTGTTACTAGAGCTGCAGAGAGAAGCCTGAGAGAGGAGATGTGAAACTACACTGAGATGGTTTTTGGTTCTTAAAACCACAAATATATCTTCTTATGGATCAACACTTCAAATAAAACACAAGAGAAGTGTAAAACACTCTGTAAGGAACCATTCTACATGACGATCACTTTTACTTTTGAAGTTCATGTTCATATTTTACTCTTATGTTATTGCTACTTTTGCTCAAAATAAGGTTCTGCTCCGTGTATTATTCATACAGACCAGGGGGAGAAAACGAGTCCACCTCCTTGTAGGTGACAGACGTGACCGGGTGGTTCAGCTTGACCAAAAAGTCAGAGATAGTCTGGTAGGCCAGAAACGCCGCCACCGCCGTCAGCAGCAGGTAGATGAAGATGAGCACCACCGTGAAGACATTCTTCAGGCAGGTTTTACTGAATCTCATCGGTGGACTATTTTCCCTGATGTCATCCTCTGCGGTGGAAGAGGGGGGGGGGGGGGGGGGGGGCAGGAAAATGTTAACCATGCCAACGACAAATTCAAACCACTTTAAGAAGGCGAGAAGATTAGATCCATGCCTTGTGAGATGCTGCCGTTCGGCTCCTCCCCCTCCAGCTGCTCTGCGGCCTTGCCTTCATCATCGTCACAATCGTTGAACTTTGAGGTTAAGAGATGGACATTCAAACAGTTAACAAACAAATAACCCTTTAAAAGTGCAAATGCATATAAAATTATACTCGCAGTAAATGTGCTTTAATAAGTGAAGCGTCTGTTATATGATGTCGTACAAGGTTTAGGTTCTCAGTATACTGTCATGTTGCTTGGTTTAAACTAAAACAAAACATTATAATTTCTGCAAAATAACTCCCAAGCCACTGTAGTTCATTAATTTAGTTGAATTTCATATAAAATCTTACCAAAACACTAAAGTACCAGTACATTCAAATTGTCGTGCTTGTTTACTGTGTGTGTTTTGCTTCTTGTTACGTCTCTGGATAAGATGAACTGTATCTGTGACTATTCAAAACATAAATATATACGATGATGAACAGAAGTCAGTGATAACATGAATCCATTATATCTGGCTGTAATTAAGTTTGAAGTATTGTAAAATTATATTATGACGGTATGAGACTGTTCTGGACTTGGCAAAACTGTATTAGACTGCATCACTTCTCTTTCTTATCATCACTGGAGGAAAATAATAAGTACATTTACTCCCAACAATTTTGAGGTACTCGTACTTTGAGTATTTCCTTTTAATGCCACGTCATTTTTTGACTCTCTGACATTTCAGAGGCAGATATTTTTACTGAACTTCATTTATGTGATAGCCTCTAATTATTAGTTACTTTACAAATTACAATTTTACATACAAACACACTGTCTGACGATACTTGAAATATAATATATTGTCAAAATTAAACTACCAAACTGTACAAATTTTAATATAATGTAATGATAGGGAAGGTTACTAATAATTATACTAATAATAATGGTGTTTTTGATTTAATTCTTATACTATTTTCTCGTTCTCTTTTTTTTTCTTTATTTTGCTGTGGTGGAAGAATAATATGGGAAAAAAAACACATAATATACCAAAATCATATACAATAATGATAATAATAATGTACAAAGTAGCTCTACCTAAGCAAGCATAATAGGAAAATTATGCACATTAATGTACTGGTAATAAACAACTGATAATGTAATATATAACTGTAGATTACTTACAGAAGGCATTTCTCTACAGAACTTCCGACATAGAAATGTAATATATGACATGTATGTATATAAGTTTATAACTTACGTGAAATACCCATAATAAAATTTGTATATGTACATATATTAAAAAAATCTATATAATGAATCTTTATGTGGTAAAACATGTTGCTGCCATATATGGTAATGAATTATGTTTAATTTATAGATGTAAGTTTATTAAAACAACATACACGTAAAAATGTTCATATGTGTGTTTATTATTCATTTAAACATGTCTCTTCACATTCTAGGAAAGTGTCTCATGTCTTTTAGCCATACTGTTTATTTTATCAACATATACTGACAGGCTGTGGGATTAATGTATATTTATCTAACATGTATACAATATAAGCATAGATACATAAACATACATATTTGTATGGGCAAGTCATATACGTCAATATATACAATTCCAACTTCTAATAGGTTTCATATATAATTTACATGTGTGCTTTTATTTTATATGTACATATGTCATTTTTAGAAATTCAATGTACATATGTGACATTTACGTATGTGTTTTATGTTCATCTATCAGCCAGGATTTTTAATTGCAGTACTTTTACACTGTTGTATTTGTACTTTTACTTTAGTACAGGATCTGTTTACTTCCTCCACCACTGTTCATGACAAAAGTGCTGCAAAATGACAATACACCAACAGTGAGCTACAATTTAAAGCTTGTTATGAGAGCAGGTTTAAAAGAACGGGGTTTAAGTACAAGTTAATGACTAGTCTGAGTCAAGGAAAACATGAAGTCAGCTAATTTCATTCTATAGGAAGCTGCTTTTTCCTGCAGTCGTCAGCTGTCCAGTCACATGAGGTCAAGTGAGCTGGAAGTTTAACACTTAATAAACTGTTGAATCCCGATTACAGACACAAACCCCCGAATATAAGACAGTGAGTGATCACACAGAAAGAGAAGTAACCTTCTCCTACCTCTTGGTATGACCGGGAGTTTTCTTTCCTGAGCATTACTCTGCACTTCTTTCAAGGACAAAACACGATGTAAGCTCTTTTAAGAAGAAGAAGAAGAAAAAGAAGAAGTCTGAAATTTACTTTTAATTAATATCCGATGCATTTTTAATTAAGTGCATTTCGCCCTGGCCCGTGTTTCGGTCCCAGTTTCCCACTCTACAGGGAGACACACCAAACAGCCAGTGGGGGTTTTTGCGACGACGATAAAGCCCATCCCATGATAACGAACCAGGGAGAGGCGGCGATACAATAGAAAACCTCGTGTCCTTGCTGTGGTTTCCTTGTTTCCTTCCCCCAGGTTGTTACCTAGTGCTGCCTTCAGGTGCTTATAGGAAGATGCAGCGGTAACGAACTGAGCTGAGTCCCAACAGTTGAATCATGGGTTTATTTCAGGTGACCATATTCACTCCTCATATTTAACTTTTTGACTTATTATATTAAGATTAAGGTGAAATGAACAGTTAAAACATATGCAAGATAAAATAGATTATAAAAAGGGGATTATAACTGAAAAGGCAAATAAAATAAGTAAAAACTCATATACTAGAGACCAGAGTGACGCCCGATTCTCCTCTTACTTACATTGAAGACTAACAATTTTAATATTTTAATTTAGTTCATTATTATTTGTTGAACTAGTTAGCTAGCTTGGCCATGGGAAGATAAAATGCCGAAAATGTTCTGCATGAAGCAACATTTAAAAGGATACTGGATTGTTTCGGTTGGCGTTTATTTCTCGTGGCCCCTGTGCTTAGCAACACATCCGTCTGCCACTCTGCCAGTGGCCCGGTCGGCTTTCCTAACTGGGACCGCGCAGATCATAATCTACTGTAGGTATACCGACTATATATGACTTCCTCACACTACACCCACGTCAAAAAACCAGAACTATCCCTACAAAGATGGCGTAGGTAGTCCGGGAAATGTTAGCCTGAGTTAGCTAAATTTTTGAAAGTATCAAACCGTTAAACTCCCACCCCCCCTTCCTTCAGGCGCCATTCCAAAGCCACGCCCTCAGAACACATGAACGCGCACTGCTGGAGTCGAGGAGAGCGGGAATGGAGCGTAGAAGAACGTAGCGGTGATTGTCGTTGTGATATCTCAATACATAATGGCTCATTCACAAGTAAGAAAACACCCAAGGCTACCATAATGAATGTAAACAACCAACGAATATTGTTAGAGTTGGTAATTTTTTGTTGAAAATACAGTTAGATGTAATAACTCATAGCTGGCTAGCTAGTAGCCGCCTGCGGTAAGGTTGTGTATCAGGCAAAGCTTAAAACATCAACAAAGGTAGCTACACTACTAAGATAGCTACACTACTAATGCTAAGTTAGCTACACTACTAATACGGCTAAAGTTTCTCTTCGAACCTTTATCTTGAATTTTCTAATGGCATGACTCTGAAAAACCAGTAGCACCTACCTAGCTACACTGACTTTTTTTTTCTTCTTTTACCATCAGTGGCGCATATTACGTTGTTTTGTATGTTAGCTTCCAGGATGAGAGCATAGCTAGCTCTGATTCTGAGTACACTTCATCTGACCCTGAATTCATATGAAATGTGTCCATTTTTACTTTGATTGGAACTACTTTATATTTAGTGGAATTAGTGGGCTCTTTAATTTCTCTTTTTCTGGTTTAATCTTTGTTTGTGTTACTCTTTAACACAGCTATGGACCAGTATCTAGTTATTTGTTTTAATTTCTGTGGGAGGAAAAGCCAATAACAACTGTTCCTTTGACTTTGAAGCAAAAAGATTTATTCTTCACCTTGGAAACAGGTCCACTAACTTTTCATGTGAACTTTGAAGACAGTGTGATAATGTGAAAAGGGATTGTTTTGTCAAAATGAAAATGAACCTTAATGCATTTTCTCTACATGTAATCCTAATTGCTCTCAGATGTATATAGTTGTTGCACATCCTGCATATGGCCACAAAAAGGTATACGAAATGGTACGCAGTCCTTGATAGGCCACATACAGCCGTTAACCGATTGTGTCTGAAATTTCCGATTTCATTAAATGCACCATCAGAAGAGCAGCAGTGACAGGGAAGCGGCTGACAGAGTTTCCGCATTTAGGTCGCCAAACTACAGCTCTACCATGGCAACCACGCAAGTTTTTGTCCTCTTCATTGTCCTGTGTGTAACTTTAGCGAAAGATGTTAAATTAAAGTCCAAACCAGCCACTACGCCTGTACGGTTATTCACTGAGGAGGAGCTGAAGAGATACGACGGCAGCGAGGTAAACTATCTGTGAACCGTAATCCTGGGTGTGTGTGTTTTTGTACCTGCGTGCTTGTGCATCTAAAGACGCAGGTGTGTTCACGATTTATCTCTGTTTTCCGTTGTTTTCCCACCTTGTTGTAGGAGGCACAACCTATTTATATGGCAGTTAAAGGGGTGGTGTTCGATGTCACCAACGGAAAAGGTAAATAAAACACACATCATTCCACTCCAGATTTAGTTATCGTTATTTAAGCTATCAAGTGGACGTTTCTGCTTTGAATCAAACTGTGAACTGACAGTAACACTCACTCATTTACAGGGGTGAAGACTAATTAAGTTCATTACACCAAGCTCTGTACTTAGGCCTCAGTGCAATTTGTAGCTACTTGTACTTTACTTATGTATTACCATTTTCTGCTACTTTATATGTCTTAGCCAGTTGTTCCCAACCTGTGGGCCGGTGTCCCCTGGTGGGCCGTGAAAGTATTACAAGTGGGCCGACAAAATAATTTGCAGAACAGTGCATATTCAAGATAACTAATAAAAGGCCAGAAAAGTAGTGTTTAGTTGTGGTTTCTCGTCATGTTTCAGATGAGTTGTTAGATTTTGCCTTTAAACTTGCCACATGCTTTCATTTAAATAACTATTTGTGGCACAAAGAAGTAAAATTATCCAGTTTTTCACAAAACAGTTCAGAAGGGTTCAAAGAAGAAAAGAAAAACACAAATTAGTGTAACAGAACTTAGTTTTTTTCCTCTTTCATGCACCATTAGTCAGATTTATCTTGTGACTGTCTGCAGGGGGCTGAACCATAAAACTTGTTAAAACTATCTCCAACTCAACAAGCCAGAATAGAAAAATGTTATCCAAGTATTGATGCATCAGTATTAACAATCTAATAATGTCACATATGATAATCTATCAGTCATAGGGGCCATTTTTCTGGGACCTTTACATACATTTTGATACTTACTTATGTTTTTTTTTTTTTTTTTTTTTTACATACGCAAGATGTTGAATGAAGGTGTTTTACTTGTATTTGAGTGCTTGTACTTTGTTTTATTAGTACTTTTTTACTTCAGTAAAGGATTTGATAAAGATATTTCAATGTTGAAATGATGTTGAAAACTTTCCAGCCCCTCTGCAGAGTTCTAGACTGAATTAATAATCTAAGCCCAGTGGACACTTCCGTCCTCTCAGATTTCTTCAATCAGTATTTCTCTGTTTTCTTTCACCAATCGTAGAGTTTTATGGTAAAGATGCTCCGTACAACGCCCTGGCTGGTAAGGACTCCACTCGAGCTGTGGCTAAGATGTCCCTGGACTCAGCAGACCTGACATCAGATACTGTGAGTTTAGTCTGAACGTGCAGAAGCTCAACTGTCGTCCTGACACCACTTCACCCACCTAATCGTCTGGATTACACTGTTTCCCAGAGTTTGACTATGTTTTTGTTGTGGCGTTAACGCCTGTGGGTGGGGAGCACCGACATCTGACACCTGAGAGTCGGTCGCAAAGCAGCGTTGCGTTGTAAGGAAATAATGAACAGGAAAACAAAAAAGAACTCGGGTGGGAAAGCCCAGAGACACACTGAGCAGGTAAAATGAGGAAAGAGAAAATTCAGGCAACACTTCCTCTACTTCTGATTTAAATTTTCCTACAAATATATGAATCATAGGTCATTCAAGGACATTTAAAGGAATAGTTTTTTGCTTATTCACCTTCCTGCCAGTCAAGAAAAAAGTTCCAGCACATAACTTCATGTAAAACTACAATGTGCTTTTTTCAAACTTCTGTTTCTTTGTATTTTAAAAGAGATGCAACATGTTAGTTTACACACACAAAGAACAACCCCACACACTCACATACACACACACACTTACATACAGAACAATAAATGACCAAGTAATAAATAAAAACAATAGAAATAAGACAATAATATCAGGAACTGAGGAAATGCTGAAGACTGGAAAACAAAAAAACTGAAATGCTGTAATAGAGAAGATGTATTCAAGTGAGTAAAACCAGTATGATATTATAATCAATTAAAAATTAAGACAAAATCGTAAAGATAAAATTATAAAGTTGTAAAAGAGAGGGAATGCTTGGAAGTGAGTAAAACCAGAAATAAAGGTAGAAATTAAGTAAATAACCAGAAAAATAAAGTAGGTTGTAGGAAAGTAATCCAGAAAATAATCATAGAATGAAATAAAAGGAGAAAACGGGGAAACTATTATATTAATAGAAAGATAAATAGATAAAATTCATTAAAAATCCAGACTGAAAAGGTAGGTCTTGAGTTTGCTTTTAAAAGTATGAACACTACCAACAATATTAAGAGTAAGATGTGTCAAAAACACAAAATTAACTTACTCTCAAGTGAATTACGAAATAAATAACAAAGGAAAGGATGATAGAAAGAAACACAGAGCACACCTCAAACACCTCACCCACATCACCCACGCCACCCTCGCCTCACAAGGTCACTCAGCCTCACTATTTTCCCTTTGTCCCTGCCTTAAAATTATAGATTTATTGATAAACCTAATGTGTCTCACCACTGAAGCACTTGGACTTTCTTCCATGGTGAAATAGCAGCATGTAGATGTGATAACAATGTTATAATGCCTCTTCTGATACGTTTCTTCTGAAATAAGTATGAAATGAAAGGTAAATGTAATAGTCAAGTCATGTCGGTTTTACTTTGATAGCCCAAAAGGACATATTTATCTGGAAGGGCTTTGACATGACACCATCTTCTTTGACACAGGTCTTAGTAAAAGCTTGTGTCTCTGCTCTTTACATTCACAGACGGGCCTGACTGAAGAGCAGCTGACGTCTCTGGATAGTGTATTTGAAGGCACATACAAAGCAAAGTATCCCATCGTGGGTTACACAGCGTCGCGCATCCTCAACGAGGACGGAAGTCCCAACGAAGACTTCAAACCGGAGGACCAGCCGCACTTCCGGATCAAAGATGAGTTTTAAATCTCATTTCCTCTGTACAATTATAATTATTTCAGGAAGGAGTTTTGTTTTGTTATCTCTTTGAATATTTTCTCTTTACTTGATCAGAATCAGAATCAAATAAATGTAATAAAGGTACAAGAGGAGAAGAAAATACATATGACTGAACTGAAGCTGTGGGAGCTTTAATGTACACAGCCCCTAAGAAACCATTTCAATACATGTTATATCTTTTTTAAGGACATAAATATAAATATATTTAATATTAAATTATTCAGTTGTTATCTATTGACCTTTCAAAAACAGAGTGGGATGACAGATGTTTTATTTTTTTACCTTCATAAAGCTGCAGTTTTATGATGCTGTTCTACATTTGTCAGAAATGAAGTTAAAGCATAAACACAGTATTTGATATATTTCATAGAGAAAGACATGGAAGAAGTTAAATGTGATATCTTGTCATTGTGTGCTTAAAAACTGTGAATCTGCAGCTCTGTGAATGTTTACATGATCAGAATCAGTCCGTGTTATTTAAACCTGATTTTTGTTTTTCTACAATTATCATTAAAGTCTGTAAATCAAATAAAACTTCTCAGAGTTTGTCTCCCTTGAATCTTCCACAGAAACATGCTGCTGTTATCTTGGTGTGATTTCTTTACGACTCACTCGTGTCATCTCCAAACAGGCAACATAAATAGTACGTCGGGGCCTATATAGCCTCCCGTGCTCCGATCAAAGGTCAGAGCAGTTCGGCTGCTGAGATAGGTGATTGTCTTTGGGTGGAGCGTCTTGCTCTGCCGGGTGTTCACACTGGAAGTAAAGCCGTCAGTTCTGTGCGATAGTAACCACGTCGAACCTCCCACGTTACTGTGTGAGTGATCTACAGCCGAGTTCAAAGGACACAAGCCCTGCCCTTGAGTCTGCCCGCGAGAGCGGAGCAGCTTTCTTTATCAGGTGGAGGTTCTGCTGGGAGTCGGCCACTGCAGCCTCACTCAGCCTGGGAGACACTTTCTTCTGCTGGAGCTCGTCCACCAACCAGAGCCAAGATGCCCAAAACGGTAAGAGCTTCATGCTGTTTCTGACGAGATCATTAAACGTGTGACTGAAATGTTTCTCCAAGTTTGAAAAAGGGAGTGGTGGGTTTATAAAGTCTTCTGTAAGGTTTGTTGAAATGTTTGTGCGGATATAGAAACCACTGAGCTTCTAACTAATCATGTACGTTTTGATAGTTTTAGTCTCTTGTTGAACATCTTTTTTTTTTTTCTTCTTCTGGGAGTTATTTCCAAGAGACACCGATCCTTATTGGCATTTACTCATTAACCAAATGTAGAGTTTGACCCATGCTGCTCACATTCCTGGCAGAAACAATGCTGCTAAAATGCTTCTCCAACTGAGCCGTGTGTTGTTTGAGTGGTCGTGCAAACCTGATGATAATCACGTTATTACCTTTGGGGACACTGGAATGACTCCTGGATGTCCTGAATGACTTTCCCCAGCAACTCATGACTGTACGGTTTAACCTCTTTGATTTTCTGAGACTGTCAGCATTAATCAATTTTCCATCCAAAATTAAAAGAAACACCCTTCTGCACTTATTTGCTGAAAGTCCTGAATGCCCTCAGTAAGAGCTACTTAAGTATACAGCATCAGTCTGTAGGAGAGCTGATAAGAACGGCCGAGCTGTGCATTACGTCTGAAAACTCTGCGCTTGTATTGACACTCCAAGGAGAAAGGCTCTCTTAAGAGGTCACGCTGACGTCTGCCTCCAGTTCACTGACGTTAAACTAACTTGCAATCAAATTAATATCAGTCGTGGTGGCAGGTGCTGCTTGTGTTGTTCTGCAAGTTTAATATCGGCATAAATTTGAACAGTTAAACAGGAAAGTCAGACGTTTGTAGCTGCTAAAAACAAGTATAAACAAATAAAAAATAAAAACAATTCAATGGAGCAAGATACTGATTGATTGTAACAGATTACTGCTTTGGTCATGTCCACAGTCAGTGATTTGAGTCGGGGTCCGGCTGTGGCAGATGACAGTGGGGGGAAAAACCTCAGCGGGTGAAGCAGTTCTCTCACAATGAGTGGAGTCAGTTGAGAAACACTATGGACGCTTCATAAATGGATGTTCCAGTTTTTGTTGCCCAAGTTTCTGTGGTGTTTATCTTTATGACACCCGGGGCGTGCTCTTGTGTAACTTCATAAAACGATTGTGTAACTGCTTCAAGCCCAATTTGGCCACAGTAAGCCAGGGTCACACTGTCTCTCTATGTATCTTTGGTTTTCTTTTGGAAAATATTGACAATCACCCTCTTTGTGTCCTCTGGGAAATCCACTCCAGAGACACACAAGAGGCAGATTTATGTGCCAGTTGTTGTAAAAAAAAAAGTTGTTGATCTTAACTAGCAGTGGTGAAGACTAAAGGCAACTTGGCAAGCAGCGAGTATTTTGATATTTTAATCTGCCTATGCGCAACCTTGTGGCACCTCGCAAGGGTAGTCCAAAGTCTAATGAGATAGTGAGCAATTATGGTTTATGAACAATCCACTTCACAGCTCCACATTAAAGACATCCTTCACACAACTGACTATATTATTAATTATGGGTTTTTTTTGTTTTGTTTTCCCATGTAACAAGTCGTTTATTCATAATGTCCCCAAAAAAAAAAAAAAATTGAAATATTCCTGCAGAATTTAAGTGAAATCTCGCTCCAAAAACAGCTCTGAGAAATGCAAGATTCAGATTTATATTAAAAATTTAAATAAAAGAGCTGAACACTTGGACTGAAAGGAAACAGAAAACCTCTGTTGTCATGTGACTTAAAGACCTTTTTTGGTTTGGTTTTTTGTTGCAGGTCAACGTTCGCGTCACCACCATGGACGCGGAGCTGGAGTTCTCCTTCCACCCCAACACCACGGGGAAGCAGCTGTTTGACCAGGTCTGTATGTTACTCCTATGGACGAGAGCTTGCACAGGTTTATACCGGACGTTATCATCATCATCACCAGAGTTGTCTCAGCTGGCACCTTGAGAACTTATCACGTAATAAATTTCCTTTCATGTTGAACTGTATAATTACTAAGTGTATGATCGTAGTGAGTCACACAGTGAACGCTACCTGAAGCTGGACTCAGTCATAAACATGAGATACAGAGGTAAAATGTATACTTCTTAAATCAGTCAAAATTGGTAGGTGTTTTTAATTGTTATTTTTCATATTTTACAATTTCTTTCTTTTTTATTTTATAATATTTTTTTAATAATAGTCGATCAAGATGCTATAAGAAATTAGTTTCTTTTATTTTTTTTCAGAGGAAAAATATTTTTTAAATGACCAAACTTTCACTTTCAGGTGGGATAGCCCACTTGGTGTTAAATAGTTCAAGGTATTCATTTAAATTAATAATTAAAAATGACAATTTCAAATTGATAAATTCAGCAAATTGAGTTTATTAAAGCATTTGGTATCCTGACCACAGACTTAAGAGAGCCAGTAGAGTACAGTGTCTCAAAAACAGTGTTGCACTGTGTAAAAATACTTCATTACAAGTAAAAGTCCAACATTTAAAGTTTTGAGTAAAAGTAAAAAAGTATTGTCAAGAAAATGCACTTACTAGTAAAAGTATTCATTATGATAAATGATATGATAAATTGTTAGTGATGCATTAAGGTGGAATTCACATTTTACTGTTTTTAGATGGTCAAACTGGAACAAATCTAACCATATAAAACACTGTTGGGTAGTTTAATCTGAAACAGTTTATAAAATGTGTACACTCAGACACACGCTGAATTATCAATGACCTGATAACAACAGTGACATCACCACCCATCAGTGTGACGCCCTCCTTACCTGGATGATCTATAGAGTATAATTACCTAAACCTTTGCACTTGACAGGAAGGCAGGTCTGTGATAAAGTGGTCGTGAGGCTTTAAAGTATATTCAGCACCTCAGCTGCTGATCCAGCTGCTCAGAGTGAGACTGACGTGTCCGCAGTCTCCTCACAATCTGTCTCTTTTCTAATGACATCTTGTCCAAAGGTTGTCCTGAAGTTTGATGAAGACCCTGGTCTCTCTTGACTTAAAGGGAAGGAAGTCATGTTTCTATCATGTCTATAACCTTCTGTGTGTGTGTTTGTGTGTATGTGTGTGTGCGTGTGTCAGGTTGCCAGAACCATCGGACTGCGTGAGATGTGGTACTTCGGGCTGCAGTTTGTAGACGCCAAAGGATTCATCAACTGGCTGAGCTCTGAGAAGAAGGTGTGTTTGTGGTTTCACAGAGCAAGCGAGCGAGATGAGACTCTGTTGAGTCTTTCCACTCTGCACTCCGCACAAGTCTTTAAAAAGTCAATCGGCAATAGAATCACTCCAGAGTTGATTTTTAAAAAATGCGGCTGTTGGTTTTCGAAAGACGTCATGAACCATCGAGAACATCCGGACAGAGTCGAAACTTAAACACAGAGAAGCAGCGTTCAGTTTCTATGTTCCACACATCTGGAACAAACTCACAGAAAACTCCTCAGTTCTTTTAAAACAGGACTTTTCTATGTGCCACTGCAAACTTTTCAATTAAATTCAGCCTCATTTATTATATTTCTATTTTATTTGTTTATTGTCTCTCACTGCACTTTACCTTACAGCAACATATACTAAACTAGATAGATAGATAGATACTTTATTGATCCCTTAGGGGAAATTCCTAAATAAATATTACAGCTACACTCAACTTTACTCCAGTCTCAGTCCTGCTCAGCTCCACCAATAATCCTTTTACTCTACGAAACACCGACACTTCAAATGATATATTTAAATTGTATTTATATTATTTATTCACTATGGAAACTGTAACAAAATTTGTTACTTTTTATGTATTTTACTTGTTTTATTCCTATTTATTTTACTTAAATACCAGAAAAATACTATAAAAATACTAGAATTTAAAAACATATCGCCTGCACTTCCACCCTGAAAAAGCTCACTTAATAAATTATAAACATACAAACACACTTGCATGCAACAGTAAGAATCACCATGAAATTGGGACCAATTCTACTGTCTTTTCTACTGTACTATAACTCTGTTCTACTCTCTTTTCTCATCGTCACATCTGTCCGTGCTCTGCTCAGGTGATGGCCCAGGACGTGAAGAAGGAGACTCCCCTGCAGTTCAAACTGAGGGCCAAGTTTTACCCGGAGGACGTGGCCGAGGAGCTGATCCAGGACGTCACCAGGAGGCTCTTCTTCCTGCAGGTGAGGGAGGACATCCTGGGGGAGGACATCTACTGCCCTCCAGAGTCCGCCGTGCTGCTGGCCTCCTACGCCGTCCTGGCAAAGTACGGGGAGTACAGCAAGTCGGTGCACCACCCGGGTTACCTGTCCTCCGAGCGCCTGCTGCCCAAAAGGTGAGTGTGAGTTAAAATTCGACACATTGTTGGGGGCGAATGTTGGACAAAAAGAAGACGCACACCAAGTTATATCTACTGACGACCTGATAACGAGAATATTTCTGTGGCTCAGGATGTTAACCCAGGAACTATGTTTACCCTGTTTTATTTTATTTATTCTAAAGAGGTTCAATTATCTGGTAATACATTTGAAAATAGAATTTGAGGTGGTCTAAATGTTTTTTCTTTTTCTTTTTTATTATTCATTACTTATTTATATATTTGGTTAAGTTCTTGCAGATTGCTTAAGTGCCAAGTGAAAAAGATGTGCAGCTCCCTCTAATGTGAAAGATTCACCTCATCGTAAATTGTAAAACTTTTAGTGTTAAGAAGAAGAAGAAGAATTTAATCGTTTACTGACAAGGAAATACAAAAAAATACAAACGTCTGAATCTCACACAGTTAAATAACTGACTTAAGTTAAATAACTGACTCTGCTATTAACTATTAAATAAAAGAGGCTCAGAAAGGCGTGACAGTGCAGCATGTGTTTGGTTTATCCCTGTTTGTGTCGTAGACTGTATATAAGATATATGTATGTATACACACACTGTTGACATTTTGAGCAGTGTGAGTTGCTGATAGCTGGTGTCTCCCCTCAGAGTGATGGAGCAACACAAGCTGTCCAAGGACCAGTGGGAGGACAGGATCCAGGTGTGGCACGACGAGCACAGGTCGATGCTGAAGTAAGTGAAAAGTTTTAAGTTTTATCTTCATTTTAAATCAAGAAATAACATCTTACTCTTTGAAATGAAAAGTTAAATCCATATTTGCTGCAGACGCTGCATTACTGAGTCAGTTTGCTGACTTGTTACTTGTTGCAGTTTATTTTGTCACAGTGAAAAAGTGAAATGGTTTCATGTGAAAAATAAAAACAAAAAGTAAACACACAATTCAGCGTGCCACTATCCTGTAAGGCTGCTGCTGCACTGGAGTTAAAATGCCTCACTTTTACAGAATCCACATTTATTTATGATATTTTTATTTTATTTTATTGGTCACTGAACATTTGTATTTATTTCACTAGGTAAAGCTAAATGTACATTTTGATGTGCGGCCCCTGAGTGGAGGCCGACAGGGCGATGAGTAAAACATGAAACAAGAACAGACACTTTGGTGAATTAAACCCCTTGATCTTCAGCCTCAAATCTACTTATTGAATATGAATTCTTCTGAATCCTTTATTGAATCTATTTTGGTTTAGCTTTCAATATTTTGTTGGTAACTAAAGGTTAATATTTAACAATTAAAAATTCAAGGATTTAAAGGTTCAATAGGTGACTTTTATGAAAACGTTGCACTTTACTGAATGAAAACAACCGATCGGGTCGTCAGATACCAACACCTTGGCGTTGGTATTTAACAGAATGACTCCCGACACCAGCAGTGTTATGAATTGCACTTTAGAAAGACAAAGAGAGAGAAGAAGAAATAATCAATAATAAATTAGTTGGGACTTTGAGCTGAACAAATCTGAATGGGTCGACCCTGCTTTTAGTTTTAGTCTGAGAAACTTTAAAAGTTTAAATCTGGTGTCTGAGGTCAACCTGCTGCAGTTGGAAGTCACTTTTCTGTCTCACCTGTTTGAGTAAACGATGAATTAATGTATTAATTATGAAATAATACCATAAAATTGTCAGATGATTCACATTCAAACAGTCGAGCCTGTGTGTATTCTGACATTTTCCCACTTGTCCGTCCAACCTGAACAGGGAGGAGGCGATGATCGAGTACCTGAAGATCGCTCAGGACCTGGAGATGTACGGCGTCAACTACTTTGAGATCAAGAACAAGAAGGGCACGGACCTGTGGCTGGGAGTCGACGCTCTGGGACTCAACATCTACGAGAAGGAGGACAGGCAAGTCAATAAACACAGTGTCTCGATTCACTGTTTATGCAGGGGAGTCCTTCTTTTATTAACGTTGCATGTGCGGAGTTCATCGACCTGATGACACACAGCCGTAGACAGGAGGGCAACACACGAGCGGTCACACCTCGGTCATCGACCCCCCGCTGCCTTCCCTCTCGGTCGGTCAGGCTTTAAATAACACGTTTGATGGTGTGGCGGTTGTTTTTAAGAGGCCGTTAACGTGAACACACACTCGCTCTCTCACTGGTCTTTCCTCTGTTACCAACTGCGTGTTTTCTGTCTGTAATGAACATGCCGTTAAGTATGTTTGATCTCCTCTTCTCTCCGTCCTCCAGGCTGTCTCCAAAGATCGGATTCCCCTGGAGCGAGATTAGAAACATTTCTTTCAATGATAAGAAATTCGTCATCAAGCCCATAGACAAGAAATCCCCTGTAAGTATTCCACAAGTTTAACCATCCTCAGCAGTGACTGCATTTGTGTGTGAATGTGCAGTTGTCTAGCAGCATCAGTGTTGTCTATGCAAATGGACGAGCAACATTTTTAGTTTAACCGGTAATATTTGTTTTCAGTTCGTCACGCCCGTCTCACTCTCGTGGACACGATATCTCAGTAACGCCTCGACAGAACTTCTTCAAATTTGGCTCAAACATTTGCTAGGACTCAAGGATGTGCTGATTATATTTTGGGGGTCAAAGGTCAAGGGTGTGGTGACCTCACAAAAAACAGTTTTGGCCATGTGAACGCATTATCTCCGTAACGCCTTGAGGGTATTTCTTAAAATTTGGTAAAAAAAAACATTCACCTGGACTCTAGGACAAACTTAATAGATTTTGGTGGCTAAAGGTCAAAGGTCAAGGTCACGGTGACCTCACAAAACACTTTTTTAGCCCTAACTCACGACTAATATTTTATATGACTCTGGATAAACAGGGACGTAACCTGAAACTAGTGGCGGAGGCAGACAACCGGCGAGGAGGTGATTCTAGTTTAGGGTGATTAGTGCAACAACAAAACCTTCTGGATTACTGACACATTTATTGTGAAGTCTATTAAGGCACATGCTCCCAGTTAAATAAACCAATGAATAAATATTAAATAACCCTACTTACATACCGGACTCATCTTATTTAAATGTCTTTTGATATTGTCTCGTGTTTCCTCTAATACTTTGCCTTTTAACACTCTATGTAAAGCACTTTGAATCACCTTGTTGTTAAAAGCTGCTGAGCAAATAAACCTGCAAACACCCACAAAATGATTTCGGTTATTGTTCCCTGTCATAATCATTGTCCTTGGAGAAAAGGGATTTAAACATGAATCTACATGAGGCTTTTACCGTCGCTGAAATGACGTTTCCTGTTTTTATTTTCGTCTTTTTAAGGATTTTATATTCTATGCTCCACGGCTGCGAGTCAACAAGCGCATCCTCCAGCTGTGCATGGGCAACCACGAGCTGTACATGCGCCGCCGCAAGACCGACAGCATCGAGGTCCAGCAGATGAAGGCTCAGGCCAAAGAGGAGAGGCTGCAGAAGAAGCTGGAGAGGTGGGTGAAGCGTTGCTGGTGAAAACTACTCCGTCCTCACACAGACAGGAGAATTTGGGATTTGAACTCGGTTTTCTTTGTGTCGCGCAGGGATCAGCTGGAGAGGGAGAAGAAGAAGAGGGAGACCATCGAGAAAGAGAAGGAGCAGATGGAGAGTGAGAAGCAGGAGCTGATGATGAGGCTGTACCAGTTTGAGGAGACGACCAAGAGAGCAGAGAGAGGTGAGACACACAGACTCTTTACAGACCGTAGACAAACGATTTCAGTCTTTAAGTCTTAATTTCTTCACAGATTTCAAAGCTGGAGTAACGAGACTTTACTGCCCTCTGCTGTTTATCTGCTTTACATCCACCAAAAAGTTAAATTCCGTTATTTATTTAAGTGTTTAAACTTCCATGATCTGTCACGTTTTGATTTTTGACTGACTTATGAAGCTCATCATAACAATAATTTGACTGTGGTAAGAAATAAACTCTAGTTTCAAGGCTTGAAAGTCTTGAGTGAAAGTTCCCTGAAGCCCCATTTAATGAGCATTAAAATGTATTTAAAATGTACATGTTTTAATTGCAGATGATCAATGTATGGGATTTCTGGGGAGATATGATTGAGTGATTTTTGATAATGTCCAAACAAGCGTGTAACACGGAGCATTATTCTAGCAACATGCATCTAGCAAACAAAACTTTAAGTCTGCGGTTCCCAACCTGGGGCCCCAAAAGGGCTCCACAACATTATAAAAAGGTAATTAGATAATTAAAGTGAAAAATGTTTCTGTTACTTTAAATTAAGTTTCTTTTCTTCTGACTTTTCCCTAATTTTTTGCGGGTTTTCTTCATGTGAAATACGACGTGTTTCATGCGTCTTTAGGGCGGTAAAAACTCTCAGACTGCTCACAAGTAGACACTGGTTCATTTTAAGGGTCCACGAGCCACAAAGTGAGGAACCACAGCTGAAATAGTGTAAACGTGTGTTATTTCACAAATGTAAAATTGTCCCAGAAAAGCACCAAGATGCTTTTACCGGCCTGTATTTTAACACCGACCGCACTTGACAAATGTCCCTGTGTTTCCCGGACTTCGTCGTGCAGAGCTTCAGGAGCAGCTGGACCGGGCCATGAGGCTGGAGGAGGAGAGGAGGAGGGTGGAGCAGGAGGCATCCCGGCTGGAGACTGAGAGGATGGAGGCCATAATAGCCAAGGAGGAGCTGGCCAGGCAGGCGGAGGACCAGATCAAGAGCCAGGAGCAGCTGGTGAGTGCACGGAAAAACTCAAGATCCTTCACGTGAGAAAAAAGCTCACGGTAGAAAAAAAAAAACACTCATTACAAAATAAATCTCCTCCATCCAGGATAAACACACATTAAGAGTTTAAACTGCACATCCTTCGGTTTGGGTGATTTTTACTGGGATTACATTCATCATGAGAAAATGATCTGAAACTCTTTCTCACAATAAAACTCTTGAAAATTAAACCCAAACATGTTTATGTTTTTATAATGATTCTTTGAGCTCATTGAAGTTTAAAGTGAAATGTGAAAGTTTCTGCAGCTTTCAGGCGAGATTTATTCACTTCACGTTCAAACTACTGTTAAATAAATGGTGAATTCTAGTCATAGGAGTTTGATCTCTCGTCCTTTTTCTTTGTCCATTTACTCATAAAGTGACAACGTGTTGGGATGATTGAGTTTGGCGAGGTAAACAGGTATCTGTTCTTGTTTTTTTTCTCCTTTCCTTTCCTCCCCCAGGCTGCAGAGCTGGTTGAGTACAGCGCCAAGATCGCTGCGCTGGAGGAGGCCAAGAGAGTCAAGGAGGAAGAGGCTGAGTCATGGCACAACAAGGTGAGTTTCCAGCCTGCGATCAAAGGGCTCCTCGAAGTCACGGGGATTAACCTGGACAATGTCCAAATCTAACATCAGCTGGTTGTGTTTTTGTTTTGTTTTTTGCCACCTGTACAGTTCGCCTTCAGCTATCCATGATGTATTTATTATAGAACAAACTGGACAACACACCTCTTTGGCCTGTAATAAACACTATAATGAAGCTGTGTGCAGTTCTATAATTAGGTTCTATACGTACGTGTGTCCCACGCTCGTGGACACGATATCTCAGTAACACCTTGACGGAACTTCTTCAAATTTGGTAAAAACATTAGCTAGGACTCAAGGATGAACTGATTAGATTTGGATTTGGTGGTATAAGGTCAAAGGTCCAGGTCACAATGACCTCAGAAAACACTTTTTAGCCATTACTCAAGATGACAAGCAGGAATTATGGAAAGATTTCTAGTTGTCTTTTGTCTTTTAGTGCAACATCTCACATGAGCATGTCACACTGCGATCGTCTGACACATTTTACTTGTGACAAATAGACCCATTAATTCTTGACCCATTTTGTTGCCAGAAATAAAACCGAGCTGACATCCAGCATCAGTAACTGAGACTGAAACTACAACCTGAGATCAGGGGACACTTCGCCTGCTGGTTTCATTTGTCCTTAAACTTGTGATACTGATACTGAGAAAGTCAATCAGACTCCGGCGCAGTGAATGACCCCGATACCCGTCATAACCTGTTTTTCTATATGTGTGTGCCTCAGATGTAAATGAGCTTTTTTAGGCTACAACTCTGGTTCATTTACAGTTTTATATTCTCTTGACCAATGAGCTCTGTCCCTGTCAACCTCCACCCCAGGCCAAGGAAGTGGAGGAGAATCTGATGAAGACGAAGGAGGAGCTGCACACCGTGATGACCTCAGTCCCTGCAGCCCCTCCTCCTGCTCCCTCCTCCTCCTCCTCCTCCTCCTCGGACAGCGACCGCGACCACGAGCACAGCGAGGAGCACAGCGAGGAGCACAGCGAGGAGCACAGCACCTACAGCGCCGAGCTGCAGACGCAGGACATCAACGACCACCGCCAGGAGGAGGACAGGCTCACCGAGGCCGAGAAGAACGAGCGGCTGCAGAAACAGCTCATGGTGAGTCCCGCGTCGAACATGCTCACTACGAAGAAATGTAGTTACAAGGTGCAGCGGCATTAGAAGAAATGTATAATATATAATCAATATGACAGTATATGAAGAGGGTTTTATTCCTCCACGCCGGCGACAGTTGTTTTCAGGTTGACCGTCAGTCTCATTCTCGTGGACACGATATCTCAGTAACACTTTGACAGAACTTATTCAAATTTGGCAGAAATAATTCACTAGGACTCAAGGACAAACAGTTTAGATCTTGGAGGTCAAAGGTCAGCGGCGTGGTGACCCCACCAAACACAGTTTTGGCCTTGTGAACACAATATCTCTGTAATGCCTTGAAGGAACTTCTTCAAATTTGGTAAAAAACCTTCACCTGGGCCTAAGGACAAACAAAATTAGAGTTAGCTGGCTAAAGGTTAAAGTTCAAAGGTCAAGTTCAGGTTGACCTAAAAAAAACCAAACAAACATGATTTTGGCCTTGTGAACACATTATCTCTAGAACTCCTCCCCCTTCACATTTCGCACAAATTTTAACTTGAACTCAAGGACGAAGTGATTAGACACTAGAATGGTCAAAGGTCAAAGGTCAAGGCCTCGGTGACCTCAGAAAACCCTTTTTAGCCATTACTCCAAACTTCACACAGAAATTGAGACAAAATTTCACACGTGGTTCATATTTTCTACGACTGTGGAAAAACAGGGGTGTAACCTGAAAGTAGTCTGAGCGGCGGAGGGATACAACCACGAGGAGGTGACTCTACTTTCCCTGTAAAGTGGATTAAGTCTAAAAAAAAAAGAAAAAAAGTGCATCGTCGTGCTTGAATAAGTGAAATTTGTTCCCTCCACAGGCCCTGAGCTCGGAGCTGGAAGAAGCCCGAGACGACGACAAGAAGACCCAGAACGACCTGCTGCACGCCGAGAACGTCCGAGTCGGCCGCGACAAGTACAAGACCCTGCGTCAGATCCGTCAGGGCAACACCAAGCAGAGGATTGATGAGTTTGAGGCCTTGTAGAAACCTCAGAGACCTTCAAGGTCTCTCCCAAATACCTCGTTCCTCCCTCCCATTTCAGCATCTTTTAATTCAAAGTGTGATGTAATTGTAGTCACACCTGATCTTAGCATGGAGCCGATGTGTGTAATAGGACCTCCATGCGTTTTGCTTGAAAGCACTGTGTTTTATTTTTTCTTTGTAGCCCTCAAACATCTCCAACGTGCTGTTTAGTCCCATTAAGACCCGACGCTAAACGACCACGTGTATATCACCTTGAAAGACGGAGCTTAAAGCTGCGTTTTCCCGATAAACTGTCTGAACAAAGCAGGTATGTGAGGTGCACTGTGGAAAACATATATATGTATGTGTCATGATAAATGATCAGAAAGGTTTATTGCGATTTGGCTCCGCAGTTTTGTTATTGTACCAACCTGAAGTGGTTAAATGTCATTTTGTGTTGTAGATGTCACATATTTAAACCACTGCCTTTTATAGATTTAGATTTTGACGAATAATTTTAACTATTAAATAGTATAAAAAAGTGTAAAAAAAACAGCACAGCACCTTTCAGAGGCATTTTGGTTTAATAAGTGACTTAAAATGATTATCAGAAATGTTGATGATTAATTTTCTGTCAATCATTTAACCCATTAACAGTTTCGGGTCTTCTGCCTTGTACACCTGTTGTCATGTGTGTCCAGATAATGCCATTTATTTAATTGGTTTTAATATTCTTATGATCATACATAGTGTTTAAATTGATGGGTTTTATGATTGTACATGTACACGTGTTTATACGAGGGAAGTTTTCCTGTGTTTCCGATTGGATTTGCTTCCTGCTTTTACCACACGGGAACATCTGACACCGGTTTTTATTTAAAACAACCTTAATCCTTTGAGTTTGGAATTTAAAGGACATTCAAATGTCATTATCACAGGTGGAATATTATAGATAATAGATCATGTGATTTACTCTTAAAGAAGCCACAAGGAAGAGCCCAAACTGAAGATTCAGATATGCAGGGTGGTTCACACACTCCCAAAAAAAAAACATTGGATCCTACATTTCCCATAATGCAATTGAATCAATAGCATCTTTCATTAGACCCTCCCTGTCTCCTAAAACTCTTTGCTGATTGGTGCTGGACTTCATAAAAAGTGTAAAGTGCAGCTTTAAATTCAGGCAAAGAGACAGTGATAACCCTGTTATTAAACTTTATAGGGGATATCTCATGAATATTAAAATAATAATAAAAAACAAAAAAACAACAACTTTACATTCTGGTTGAGTATCATAATAACACTCCTTTATTCTGTGTGTGTGACACAAGTTGTGTGTTTGAGCTGAAGAATCCTGTTCACCGTGAGGAGGATGTGCGTTTTGAAATGTTTGCTCACTGACAGGAGGGTTATCATTAGGTTGCTAGACAACTTGTGAAGCCAGTGGAGCTGCTCTGTTTAAATAGCCACTAGGTAAATATTTTACCTGTGAATGAACACATGAATCATACGCCAAGTCATATTTGACGACGTTACCTACCTGTTGGAGGCTGATCATCATCTCTGCTGCTGAGTGTGTGTGTGTGTGTGTATGTGTGTGTGTCCTCAGAGAAAAGACAAACTGTTTATTTTGGCCTCAGGGATAGTGGATGTGTGTGTGTGTGTGTGTGTGTGTGTGTGTGTGTGTGTGTGTGTGTGTGTGTGCGCGCGCTCAAAGGTGGGCTCTTGATTTTTAAAGCCGCTACTCCAAGAAGCTGTGGGATTGCCCTGTGTTTCTTTTCTGCAGATTCTAAATATAAGTCGGTGACAAATAGTCCAAATACAGTAGCAACCCAACTGTGATGTGGGGGTGGTGCTGAGAGAGCGGCTCCGTCTCCAGAGTCCCTTCTGTTGGATCCGGAGTCCGTCAGGAGAAGGTCGCAGAGAGTCTCAGCTCCCACCTGCGCTGTACCTCCCTTTTTTTCTTCCTCCTCTTCTTCTTCTCCTTCTTCTTCTTCTTCTTCTTCTTCGTATCCTCTTTATTTATCATGAAGAGACAAAACGCCAGGACCCTCGCGCTCATCATCAGCATCCTCACCTACCTGGTGGTCGGAGCGGCCGTGTTCGAGACGCTGGAGTCCAAACAGGAGAAGAGTCACAAGAGGAAGCTCGACGCCAGAAAGTACGAGCTCATGCGCAAATACAACTTGACCAAAGAGAACTTCGAGGAGCTGGAGCACGTCGTCCTCCACCTCAAACCTCACAAAGCGGGGGTGCAGTGGAAGTTCGCCGGGTCCTTTTACTTCGCCATCACTGTGATTACGACCATCGGTAAAGATGTTATTGTTTATCGATCGATGAGGCTGAGATCAGTTACGTTTCATTGATAGATGCTCAGCACAGGGCTGTAGCCAGGGAGGCAGAGGTACTGAGGTCTTTAATCCACATTAACCCCCCCCCCTCAGAAATACTTACACAAATGTAATGTATTATATTATATATAAGTATTTATATCAAGGGTGATGTGTCACCTATAAGGGGATATATTATGATCACATATACATCCTCTGGATATATGAAGATGTACAAATATATATATATATAGTATAGTATAGTATATATGTTAACAATATATATTCAATTTATATATGTCACTTATTAAAACAACAGAAATTGTTGTTTTTCTTATTAATTTCTCATTAATTTAAACAGTTTTTAACACTTACTGACGGGCTTTGTGATGGATATATATTTATGTAACATATGTCTACAATATATAGGCTAGACATTTATGTTAATATATGTAATCGTTCTAATTTCTAATAGGTTTCATATATAGCCTAATACATGTGTTTTTATTTCATATGTTCATATATTTCATTTGCGTGTGGGCCAAGCACAATTCTGCAAAACTGTCTTTTCTTAAAAATTTGATATTGTTCATTGGTCAATATCTCAATAGTCTTTTAGCACAGCCTGAAGCCACAGCTCATACTGTTTGTGTGTGACAAACAAAAGATTTGAATTCATTATTCTACATCTATTTAACTATTAACCCTTCTCAGGTTGACGGATCTTATAAACATCTTTGTTATAGTTCAGTAGAAATATGGTTTCAGTGCTGTTGGACTCTGTAGACTTACGTATCATACGAGATCATATGTGACTCAGCCTCTCAAATTTGGTTAAAGTCATCCATTTATCTACTATTTTGCTCATATATTGCGCTTCTTCATGAACCTATAGACCTTTGTGAACCCATTTCAAGCACCAGAACAATTCATCCACATCAGTAAAGGTTTGTTTTCACAAAATATTTGAAGAATTTTTCAGCATTTGGGCAAAATGATCTGTTTGCACTTTGTTCTACGACAAAAAAAGGGGCTCGTTATGAAAGAGCTGATATTGTTCTGAAAATCGTGACATAAAACATTTGGGTTTTATGTTATAAGGTGAATTTAAGAAATAATGTAGAAATCGAGAAAATGCCCTTTGACCTCAGAGAGGATAAAACTGAGAGAAAATAAAAAGTCTAAATGCTCCACTCATTCAGTGTCATAGTGTTTCAGACTGGTTATTTTTATGGCTTTAAACAGCTGTTTGTTTATTTTAAGGAGCCATTTCTAGGATGAAATCTTACGTTTGACTGCATCAGAAATTGTTCTGAAATTGCATTTCTACATATTTATAATTCATGACACATTTTATGTTTGTCTGTAACTCATTGCGTTTGCTGCCTTTCTTTGCCAGGACACCCTTTAAAATATATGATTAGGAATTATTTTAGAAGCATTTTATCTCATTTAGACTTTTCTGATTAATATCGGTTACTTTAATTAATAGATTAAATACTGGGGGATATCACTTTGGTGGGACAAAAACTAAATTCCAACATTTCTTTTTCTTTCTTTCTTAATTTCTTGGATTAAAACAGTCAAATCTAAGAATATCAGACTCAGCCCCTGCGTGTAATTGTAAAAACACCGAAACGCCTTTTCAAGTCTCTGTTACCGAAGCAACAGCGGCGCCCTGGCTCAGTGTCTGTCATTGCAATCGGGGGCCACTTCAGGCGAATTCAGGCAGAGAAAGTGACGACTTCCTGGTTTATTTCCAGTGTTTACAACATCCCAGCTGACAACAGCGTGGGAGTTATAAATACATAGCTGTTAATTCACAATGTTAAAGTCGAGCTGAATGGTGTGACGGGTTTTCCATTAACGGGAGGATTTAGTGGGAGTGGGTGTTGGGTTTCCTGTGGATTTTCAGTCAGACAATGATTTTGAAATGATAAATTTATTACAGGAGCTTGATGTCGAGCTGCCTCACCACAACACGAAACCACAGAGCACCTTCATAGAGCCCACGTAATGAAAATGTTGTTGTTGCCGTCACTCAGGTTATGGTCACGCCGCGCCCAGCACCGACTCAGGGAAGGTGTTCTGCATGTTCTACGCCCTCCTGGGGATCCCTCTCACCCTGGTCATGTTCCAGAGCCTGGGCGAGCGGATCAACACCTTCGTCCGGTACCTGCTGCACCAAGCCAAGAAGTGCCTGGGGATGCGTCAGACCGAGGTCTCCATGGCGAACATGGTGACGGTGGGCTTCTTCTCGTGCATGAGCACTCTGTGTGTGGGGGCCGCGGCGTTCTCCCACTGCGAGGGCTGGAGCTTCCTCCACGCGTTCTACTACTGCTTCATCACGCTGACTACCATCGGGTTCGGAGACTACGTGGCTCTGCAGAAGGACGACGCGCTGCAGAACGACCCTCGGTACGTGGCCTTCTGCTTCGTTTACATCCTGATGGGCCTGACGGTGATCGGAGCGTTCCTCAACCTGGTGGTGCTTCGCTTCCTGACCATGAACACTGAGGACGAGCGGAGGGACGCCAAACAGAAGGCCCTGATGTCCGTCAGCAAGTCCAGAGGAGAGGTGGCTCGTCTTATACCTGTCTCGGCCTCCACTTCCTCCACACCTGTAGCAGAGGACACCGCAAAGGCAAGAGATTTAAAAGGTGTCTACACTGAGGTGCTTCACTTCCAGACTATATGCTCCTGCTTGTGGTACAGGAGCAAGGAGAAGCTGCAGGGCTCCATACCGACTATGATCCCTCAGGAGCTGACGTTCTCCGATGCCTACCTGCAGCAGAACAGTAACTGCCCTCACTACATGGAGCCGGGGTCGACAGGCTGCGTTTGCAGTCCACGTCAGTGCACGAGCATAAGCTCCATAACGACGGGCCTGCACATCCTCTCTCCGTTCAGGGTGTTCAAGAGACGCAGCTCCGTCTAGCCTTTCAATACGGCACAAATGTGTCCGTCCCGCCAAAGTGGACAACTCATGATTGGCAGTCCTCACGGCAAAGACAACTAATGCGAGTAGATGTTTGTGGTGCTATAATCCCAGTAAACCAACAGTAGGAGACGGGGGAAGGGGTAAAAAAAGCACATGCAGTACTGTGAACAGAGATCTCACTGAAATATGTGAGCGAGCACAGCCCCCAGCGCTTTGACTCCAGGTCTTCTTCAGGGGCGTGCTGTGTGCTTTGAAGAGTCATGTAGGCACGACGGTGTGGGCATGTAGGTACGTCATCTGGGTCGCTACACGTGGACACATCAACACAGAGCTGCAGCGCGTGTGATGTGGCGTGCACACAGTTTGTAGGTGAGAGCAGAGCAGGTGCTGCAGGAGGCGTGTTAGCTGGAACAGTAAAACTAAAATAATAGCAACGTCCTCTTGCACAGCTCTGCAGTGAGTTCCAAATGTGTGTTTCTGTTTCTTATCTCAGAGATGTTGATGTCTGTCAGCTGTGTTTAGCACGTGTCTTGATGATATTTAGGCATTTCCTGTCAGAGTGTTTGTGACCGATGCAGCACCAGTTCAGACGACTCTCTTGCCTCATAAAAACTGCTTTACGTTTCCCGAAATATGTATTTAAACTAATTATGATTGTCAGAACTTCATTAAAGCTCACACATACACTGTAAAAGTGTAAGTTTAATTGCTGCTTTAAAAATGTGAGTAAATTCAAGTTGAAGATAAGCTTTGGTTCAACTCAAAAAGTTAAGTTATACTGTATAAGTTGTTTATTTCAACTCACAAGTTCAAGATAAGATAACTTCAACTATATTCGTACCAACTGCCATTTCAAGTTAAAGTTTACTCATGTTCTTAAGGCAGCAATTGAACTTTTGTTTTCAAATAAGAACAGATATTCCTTTGTTAGTCCATTTGCAGTGTCACAGCAGCAAAGTGACAGTACAAGAAAGAAAAAATGCAAAATGACAGTAAGAAATACTTAGAAATATAAATATTAGATAATAATATTTAATACATATTTACAAATATTTACAAAATAGACAAATTATTTTAATTGTAATATTCCATTTCATTTCAAGTCAAAAGACTTTAAGTTAGAACAACTCATGTTTTTAAGTTCCAAAATCTGAAAATTAAAATATTCTTAGTTGAATTAGCTTGAAGTTGAAGTTATCTTAAATATTTAGATTAAGTTGGCAGGAAATGATCAGTCGATTCCACTAAAATCCTGCAGGATTTTTTTTACAGTGTGTACTGATAACTTCATATGACTCACATGTGCAGTTGCCTCTGTTATTGCGATGATTTTTAGTGCTCTCTGCTCAAACTGGACCGGTGCATCAGTCACAAACACTTCTGAATTACGTAACGTCACAAGTGGAAAGGTTCAAAAGAACCACGATGACAAAGTAGATCACACTCACCAGCTCCGACTGAAACACACTTCACTGGATTTGTTTAACAACAGCACAGAGCGCTGCTGTAAAGATGAACGCTGGGCGGAATCAACATCTCTGACAGTGTCGACCAAACCCGACCACGACGAGCTCCACCAGCCTCAGACTTCCTGCAGCGTTACTGTGCTGTCAGCTGTTTCTGTTACTGGATCCACTGGGATTGTTCTGCCTCATGGAGTTTTCATTGTGATGCTTTTAATTTTTTAAAAATCAGGGGCCAGTTGCACAAAACACCTAAAGTTTTCTACTTAAGTAATGGCACTTAAGGGTTAATTTCTCCTTAGCTGAGGGAGTTACTTAAGGGTGTTGTGCAGAATCTCTTAAAAGCTACTACTCTGTCATTTTCTCTGCACCGTTTTTCTGTCTCTCTGCACAAGCACAATGCATGATGGTCCTGATTGCTTGGTTAGTGACCATCGGTTGTACACTACTTTTCACTATGCATTGTGGGATACTATGAGTCCAGACATCGCTAAGATCTTTTGTGCAACGGTTTAAGTGATTCCTTAAGTGTAAGACTAAGATCAGGAGAAAACCTTAAATACTTAAGTGAACATTTCAAGGAAACGCTTAAGGGTGTTTTGTGCAACTGTTTTTATTTTAAGGAAACCTTAACTCAGACTTTAAGGAAAATCTTAACTTAAGGTGTTTTGCGCAACTGACCCTCAGTCCTTCAGGAACCAGAGCAGACTATTAAAGGAACAGTTAAATATCCGGGGAAATACCTTTTTTTCTTGTGGCGAGTTAGATGAGGAGATCAACACCGCTCTCATGTCTGCACCAGGAGCGAGGAGGCGGTTGACCTAGCTTAGCATAACGACTGCAAACAACCTGCCTCTGTCCGAAGTTCAAAACTCCACCTGCCCGCTAAAATTCACTAATTAACACATTATTTGTTTAAGGGAATAGTTTGACATCTTGTGAAATACACTTCAAATGCTTATAGATCACCATGTGTGCTAAATATGAAGCTAGCTTTTTAGCTTAGCTTCGCATAAACACTTGAAACAGGGAGAAACAGCTCTGTCCAAAGATAACAGCAACACACCTGTCAGCATCTCTAAAGCTCACAATTTTATAACTTGTTTGTTTAATCACATACAAAAACAATTAAGTGTAAGAACAATATACGCTGTGGATTTCTTGTTCCAGGCCAAGAAATAATCTGGAACATAACCTCCCACAAAACCATAAATTGTAGTTTTCTTGTCATTAAATAAACAGGATATAATGTGTCAGCTCGTTACTCTCCTAGCTTCCAGTCTTTATGCTAAGCTAAGCTAACTGGTTGCTGGTTTTAGCTTAGTATAAACAGAGTGATATCAGTTTTCACATCATTGTTTCATGGTTTTATAGGGACTGATTTGTTGTAACTACCAAATGCTGAGCAGACAACAGAGCTCCTGGTTGGAGGGATGAACTTGTTTGTCATGAGACAGATCAAGAATTCCCCTTAAAACCACAAATTCTCATCTTTAGATTTCTGTTTATGTGCAGATTTAAACATTAAGTGTTCGTTTGTGAGCTTTTTTGAGATGCAAGGAGGTGGATGTTTGAGCTTTGGACAGTGCCGAGCTGTACTAGCTGTTTCCCCCCTGTTTCCAGTCTTTAAGCTAAGCTAAGCTAAGCTAAACTAAGCTAACTGCTTCCTGACTTTTGACGCACAAACATGAGATTGGTATCGATCTTCCTCTCTGAGCATATTAACCAAATTTTAAATATTCTGAAATACTTCTGAAAGAATAAAATCAAACATTAGATCTCAGATTTCTATCAAAGTACATGTTTGGGGTTTGACTCGTATATTTTTCTCCACTCTGCTCTTTAAACCTGAAGGACTGAGGCTTCACAGAACTCTTCGACTATTAAACAAAAGACATGAAGTGTGCAGAGCTGTCCAAATCACATCTGGATCAAACAGTAGCGAGGATGCAAACTATTTTTAGTAGCAGTGTGCAGTGGCAGATGGGAGAGGGTTTCCTGTGTTTGGACAATGGATAATGAGCTGGTTGTCAGTCGCAGACAATTTTGCCATAATAGACTGAGTCTGTGTGACTGATGGAAAAGTAAAAACCCACCCTCAGATACTATCTCTTGTATTTCTGGGCCAATTTTAGAGTTTGGTGGTGTATTTTTTCTGTGGGCGACATAATGTGTTGTCATGTTAAGTTTAATTCTGGCAGCTACGACGGGGTTTTAATCCCTAAAGATGTTTGATGTATTTAAAACTCTCACAGAAAGTGGCAGGTTTTTGTTTTTGTTGTGTGTCGAATCAGAAAGGAAGCGCTTTTTTCTCTTTGATTCACAGAGATTTGATTTATTTTGAATTTAAATCTTGAGTTTTACAGAGATAAATCATCATCGGGGAGAAAGAACTACACCTGCTTCAAACAGATGACCAGAAAGCAATACGGCCACAAACCGTCTGTGTTATGAAGCACACAACTAAGGCTACGACTAACGATTCATTATTGATTAGTCTGACAAATATAATTTCTTCAATCAGCAGTTCAAAACCTAAAGATGTTCAGTTTCTGTGACTGATATAATTATCGTTTGTTAATTAAAGTGTAATATTTCCCTCTAAGATGATATTTAGTAGAAACATAAAATAGCTGAAACTGGAAATTTTGAAGTAAAGTACTTAGTTTTTCCGCCTCTGTCACAACCTGAAACAAGCAATATATGAGTCAGGATTCATTTCACATTTTATTTCAAGATCACTCTTGAAATAAATCGGACGCCACAGATCTGTGATACTCTGAAAATCTGAAGGAGGATTTTTTTTCTTTCTGCCATTTTTTGTTTTTTTGTTTTGCCTTATGGCTGAAATCCCACCTGTGTGACTCACCGTCGACACAAAATCAAAAAATAACCTGCAAATACTCGTTGATCCACTGTAGGTTCCGCTGTCTGTTGAAATTACACCTGTACTTTACTGAAACACAGTAAGTTGCACCTGATAATGGAAGAAAAATGATGATCATGATTCTGCTTTTTACTTTGCTTTTAATAACAAGTGACCCAGAAAACAGCAGCTGTATATTTTATGTAAGTACTGTATTAGTTTTAAAGTAGGACGCCATCATGCTGCACTAGTAGAAACCGGCCTCTCTGTGTCATGTTGGAAAAGAAAACACTTCTAAACATGACGGAGCAAAGTCGTACTTGAACACTCAAAGAGTACTTGAAAATAACTTTTTTTTATCTTACCTTGCCAAGGGATATATGTACAGCTGAGACTATGGCAAAATAAATAATGCACATCACAACAATATTGTACTAATATATAGAAAAGAGCATCCACAGCGAACATTATGGATGTGTTATCCAAAAACTGGGACTGTTGTTGAGTTTTAGGACTTTCACCAACCGGAAATGACTTTAAGTTTACAGAGATTTATTAAATGATTATTAAATTCTCTATACAATTGAAGTTACACAAGCTGCAGTCGTGCTGTTCATCACCGTGTGCTGCGTGAGGGGATAAAAAAAAAGAAAAAAGGTGCTGCTGAATGTATAGAAATGTCCGTTTGGACCAGATGGTTTCCCCCTGGGAATTCTGACTGTAGTCCAGTTCCGGACGAACCTACAGCAGCTTAGTCACGAGCAAAAGTACGGCAAAAGTATTATGTCATGCTTTGTTATATCCAGCTCATCATCATGTGGTACAGGGAACAGCGGGGGGGGGGGCTGGGTGGGGGGGGTGGACACAATAACACATACACTTGATTAAAGAGCAGCGATACTGTCTTAATGTTGCCTTCTTAATCAGGCCACAGCCATAATACTGGCTTTTCTTGTTAAGACAAATTTTCTTTATATATATATATAATATTTTTTTTTTTCCTAGGACAGAATATTGTAATTTGACTCTCATTATAGAGAAATATTGATTGGTACATTTCCACCTAATTAATTCCAATTAAAATGGTGGTGTAATCTCGAGTGTGTTTTAGTTAAGCAAGCAGAAAATGTTAAATTATTCAACATACATGAATAATAAAGATTTACAGTATAAATGAATAATGAATGGTGATTTACTTGGGTTTAAATTGAGCTTCTCTTTGTTATTTTCTATATGATTAATGCCACATTACAAAGGTCTTTCCAGGAACTTATAGGAAACTATTCACACATCATAGACCCGTAAAATAAAGAGTTACCAGCTATTTTTGAGGCAGGTGTCTTTACTTGAATACCGTGTACACTCAGTTTATTAGGTACACCTATCTAAAACTAGTCTGCAGTCTGATGCAACAGTCCTGCAATAAAGCCTCAATTCATGTTTGTATAGAAGTGTATGGTTATTTTTGGAGGCTGTAGTTTATGGTGCTGTTGTGTTATATAACATTATACTGAGTTATACTGTTTTTTAATGTTTTTTCCACCACGTTTTATATCATCAAGGTTAGACTTAATGTTACAATTCAACAGCACCACAAACTACAGCCACGAAACAGCAGCAACACACCAAATACTGAACAGTATAACCTTGAGTGTAGGATTTATTTTAGGGTTGTTGTATTAGACAGCATCAGTTTAAGATAGGTGTACCTAATAAACTGACCATGGAGTGTATAAGCTTTAATTAAGGTATTGTTTTAGAGGTGCAAAGTGATGTCTCAATAATCATGATAACAAATGTATTAGCAAGCAATACAGGCCACATGAAACCACTGAGCTGAAGCCACGTCACCAAAACTGAACATTATTAAGCTTAACTGTCATTTCCTGTATTGAAACGTAATTGAGTTCCTGCAGTTTTGTCCACTCCTTGTATAACATTATTTTTACTTGAAATATTTCGGGTTCATTTCTGTCTTAAGGTAAAAAGTCTTTTTTATCAAGTCTTGAGAAGTTATTTACAATCGGCAAAATAACCAGCTAACTGGTTAGCAAAACCCAGCTAATCTTTCAGATATATGTTAAAGTTACACTCAGGATCATGCGTTCACAACCATTTTGACGCCTCAAAACAAAGCAATGATTCCTAATCTCTCCTGGTTTAAATCAGTTTATTATTTTTCAGAATATTTTTCATTTTTAGAAGCCTGAAGAAAACAAAGATTAGAGGAAGGTGTGAAAAGGTCCACATGACTTTTCATTCTGCTGTGGGGTATGTGACGCCCATGTTGGGAACCGCTCCTCTGCCACGTTGAAATAGCACCAACAAAATGAACGATGAAGCCGAAGATCAGGAAAAAAAAAAAAAATTTCTTCTGTCGCCAGAAACGTTGAAATGAAATCGCTGTGCGCTCCGAGAACAGAATTATAACATCAAAGTGTCAGTTGCCTGAGAATAGAGCAATTAGGGCTGTATCTCGTTATCAGAAATTTGCTTGCCACTACAACATCAAACCAGCTTGTAAGGCCTGGCTGTGTGCCTGCGAATCTGCCTTCAGCCATTAGATGTGCACAGAAAAGCAACAGAAGGAGTATCCATTTGACAAATCCCTGTATTGGCCCCCCGTCGCTGGAGCATCTGCTGTTTTCTACTTTGGCCATAGACCTGAGTATCTGTGTCAAAGACAGAAATAGTTGCACTGAGAAGGTCATCGATGACATTACGTCACTTCGTTTCTTCTCTGGCTTTGGAAAAATTCTGAGCGGGTTAAAACTGAAGGTGTCATGTATTAATGCCAATTTGGACCCGGCATTAAAGCGCACTTGTGTTAAATGCTACAGAGATGTTTTCCATTAATTAATTTTACTGAATTGGGCATGATTAATTAACCACAGTTTTCAAAGATCTGCCAGGGCAAATGTATTCCCTGACGTGTTGAGGAATATGGAAAGAACTTCACACATAAAATATTTGTTTAAAAGTGTTTATTTTATGGTTCAATTTGGGCAGAACAAAAAAACTAAGCACTTGCACTGTAGCACTGATCATTCCCTTAGGCAGGCACTTCCACTTTTGATGACATCACAACTTTTGTTCCTGTCAAGTTTGAATGGACTTATTGCAAGTTGCTTTGCAGACAAGTGTCTCCACAATGAATGTAATATTAAAAAAAAGAAAAGAAAGAAATGCAGAATCTAAGAGGATACTTTGGCTCCGAAAATGAAATGTAAATGTTACGAGCCGTCAGAACATCCGTAACTTTGTGATGTCACACCCTCAGCCACGCCCCCCCCCCAAGCACGGCCCACCCAGACCCACCTTCCAATCGTTCTTGTCTGATCAACTGAAGCCCAAATCCATGAACATAGATTTATTCTCTTTTAATCCAGTCAGGAGTTGTCATGAATAATATAACAAATATATATAAAAAAATATATATATATAACAAATAACAAAATAGTATAGTCTATACATAAATGTTGCTTCACTAAATTCCCTCCCTCATTGTGGAATGACCTAAAATTAGAATTTTCCCATCTTTACAAATGTATAAAAATGTCAAAAGCTCCTATATCAGGAAACTATAAACTTATGTCTGAATATAATTTATTCTGATCTCTTGCTCGTTTAATTATTTCTAGTTAATTGTTATTTTAATGGTTCAACTTCCTCTATTTGTATTTTTCTTTCATGTTTTCTCATTTCAACATTTCAACCCTGTTTGTTTTGTTTGGGAGAGGAGGATTTATGTCCAGGTGTTATAAATAAAGTTAGTTTAAAGGTTAGTCTAAGTGCAGAATTAATTCTTAATTATGATTTCTCCTTCACATCTTTCCCTTGACCTTTTCCATCCAGGTCAAGGAGAAGTGGTTCCGAAAGGAGATAATTTGGACTTTTCGGCCGCAGCCATGGAATTAAATTGGGATAAATGTCTACAATGTCAGGCTCCGCCCCTGGATCGGACCGGGAGGCGTGTTTCTGTTAACCGAGTGTCAGTGAACGCTACATATGAGGGTCTTGCTGTCTCTCTAACCAAAGTTCAATGTCCGAGAAAGTCTCCGGGCCTCCAAAATGGAGCTGAAGGATCTGGCTGTGAACGCGTTGCTCCAGAATAAGAAGGCGGCTCTTCTGATCGGCGGAGCCGGCGTCGCTGTTCTGGGACTCGGGCTCGGATATAAATACCTGCGAAAGCCAGAAAAAGTTGTGCGTGTAGGCGTAGTGTCGCAGCTGCTCATTCACCCTCTCAAATCCGGCAGAGCGGTGTCTGTGGCTCTCGCAGAGTGTCAGAACATCGGCTTGAAGTTCGGGGAGCTGCAGGATCGGTGAGTGCTGTGCACGAAGGATTTAACGTTATAGTGGTTGGAGTGCAGCCGATCACTTGTTCAGACAAAACACGTGAATGTGCACTGTTAAAAAAAAAGAAAAAAGTGTTACTTAAGTAGGCCTCCACCTCTGAGGTGCAAACATCACATCCACTCCTCTGGGTTCATTTGACATACTGTGATTTTACTGACCTGAGAGGAGGAAGTCTAAACATCCACTATAAATAAGAATACCTGTGGCTGAGAGTTGGAACGACTTTACAGCTTCTAAAATAGTCAGAATTTACTTAAAATACATGTTACATTTGAACTCATCCATAATAATCCACTAATGTAGCCTAATATATTTCATATGGAGGTCCTGAAAGATATAATAAATAAATAACAACAACAATAATAATAATAATAATAATAATAACCTCAATTATTAGCTCCATAATTGAAATCCATGAAAGGAACGATTTTGCTTTATGAATATTTTTACTTTTGATATTATTCAAGGAAAATCTTTCATGCAGTAACTGTAAACACTTTACTAGTAAAAGTGCATATGTTCAAACTGTGGTTAAGACTTTGCTAAACCTTATGTCTTAATCATCAACCAGTGAACACCAGCCGGGCTGTGCTGCTTACACGCAGATACATTGTTCTTTATGATTTTGTCGTTGAACCCTTTGCATCCAGTTTGAAATGGGAGAAAGTTCAAACTGCATTAACACCCTGACTGTTTAATCTGGTGTTGGAATCTGGTGGTGATTTTCCTTAATCACGTCCCAATATTTACATTATTCCTGAACTTTTGTGGAGATTTTCATAAAGACTTAATGTGGTTGCCTAGTGATAGTACATCAGACATGACAGGTAGGACAGGTAGGACATCAAACATGACATATGCTTTGCGTATGATTCCCAGAATTTTGGGTTAAAAATCAAATGTGATGTAAATCTGGGATTTCTGCATGAATCAGCAGTACCACTGTATCCATGGTAACCTCTGATGTTATCAGTCCTATCTTGTTTTTACGTTGTCATTCCCTTTCCTGTCACATTGCCTGACGGCTGTGAGAGCTCAGAGTGCTGCAGGTTTAGTGTCTGGACTTTGGAGTTCAGCCGGGGATGCCAAATTGTGCAAACGAGGGAACTCCACAGTTGTGTTTTGTTTTGTTTGCAGACACTGGCTGGTGGTGACAGAGGACGGTCACATGGTGACGGGCAGACAGGAGCCCCGTCTGGTGCTGGTGTCTCTGACCTGCGAGGGAGGTCAGGTTTGTTTGAACGGACCAAATATGGAGGAGCTGAGGTTCCCCGTCAAACAGCCCGACAACCCCGTCATCGACTGCAGGTCTTCTGTGACTGATTCCTCAGCTGTTTATTTGACTTGTCTTTGTGGTTGTTTGTTTGTTTTTATTATTATTTTTGGTATTTTTTGTTTGACCAACAGCCCCAGAAATACCCAAAAATATTTAGTTTACAATCATAAAACAGAAAGTGATGAACAATATATTTGTAGCTCTGATATCTGTTAGTTTTGTCAATTAAGGATCATAATAGATATTGTAAAATGTAGATAGTGTTTAGTGCTTTTTGCCACTGTTATTTTTACATTGTTTACTCATGTTCCAACTGTGTTTTCAGACTTGTGTAACACTTGTTGTTGTTTTTCGTGCTGCAGAGTGTTTAGCTCCGACATTCAGGGCCGGGACTGTGGCGAGGAAGCGTCTCAGTGGCTCACTCGCTATCTGGGGGCAGAGAAAACCTTCCGCCTGGTGCACTTTGAACCCCAGATGAGGGCCAGGAGACCCGTGGAGATGGAGCCTCTCTTCCCACAGTACGAGGTATTTTAACGCTCCTCTTCTCCTGCTCTTTTTGTACTTTGTTTTTTCCTGAATTGAATCCCACAGAAATCACCATTGTTCTCTGTGAGTGAACTTGTGGTGTTTACCCGTTTCTCCAGCAGGTGGCGTACCCAGATGTCGGACCTGTGATGCTGCTGTCGGAGGCCTCCGTTAAGGACCTCAGCGGCAAGTTAGAGAAGGACGTCACTGTGGACCGTTTTCGCCCAAACATTGTGATTGGTGACTGTGATGCATTCGATGAGGTTTGTAGATTTCTGTGTGTTGATGCTGATTTCTTTCCCTCGCTGGTTCCTCTGTTTGGCCACAAGATGATAAATCCTGGTTAGATGAGAAAATAAAAACATATCAGAGAGTCGTGTAAAGATAAGATTAGAAACAACAGATCCTGTGGGTCTCTACGCTACAGCCTCTCTCTTTTACTTTTCCCTCCTGTCTGTAAAATGATCATTTGGTTCTTCTGACTCATACTTCGCCCTTTTCAGTGTGAGCAGCGTGGACTAAATTTATCTCCAACTCCAAAACCAACTGCTTTGCTTTTTCAGGATTCGTGGGAAGAGATCCAGATTGGCAGCGTGCGACTGCAGCGTGTAATGTCGTGTGGAAGGTAACAATGGGTGATGCTTCACACAGATTTTTAATCAGAGACAGAATCACTTCATTTACCAGCGATAAATCTAAAGCTGCAGCGCCGACACTGCAGGGGTTTGTGGTTTGATTCCCTGGATAAGAATGAAATCCAGTCCGATACCAATGATTGTCAAATGAAATGTCTATTTATATGATATTAAAATGCATGAATTTGTATTTCTGTTTAGGGTTAACAGGATGGATAAAAAAAGTGTAACTTTTGTCTTTTCCAGATGTATTTTCACCACAGTTGACCCTGAAACTGGTATCATCAACAGAAAAGAGCCTCTGGAAACACTGAAAAGGTGAAGCTTTAACTCAGTATTATAGGTTATAGATTAATATTTAACATTTTAGTGATACTCAGTGTTGTCTGGTTTAAAAGTAACCCAATGTGGGTGACTGGGTCAAATACAGTTTGGGTTTTGTTTTCTGCCTTTCTGTTCTAAAGCCACTGAAAAGTGGGATGAAAAACACAACCCGAATCCTGGGTTATCACCATCTCTGGGAGTTAAATTACTTATTTTATGTCAGTCAACTTCTGCTGTTACTGTTAAGATTAAATAGAAATTGTTATGAAATGATGAAACGATGAAACAAGCACATGATGTTCAAACCGTTCTTTTATTGCTACATGCAAAAAATATCTAGTCAGCCATGTAAATATAACATATTTTAGTGTGTAAGATGGTTTTTGACACTAATTGAAAAAGGTCCCTTTGTCCAATTTGCACCAACTTTAAGGAGAAGAAGAAGAAGAAGAAGAGGAAGAAGTGATTTCAGTTCATTGCAACCAGACAATTTAATTTAAAGGACATTCAGTTTGAAAGTTTACTCTGTGGTAAACGCTTTACATAGCGCTCCCTGTAAGACTGTCAGACTCACGATGGCGCCTACATTACCCACAAAGCAACTCGAACCGCCAACGTTTTCAGTCGGCTGTTGTGTTATGTGTTGATTATAGCAGCTGCCTACATTTACTACAGCGTGAGATGAAGCAGAGACGAGGAGCGAGCAGCAGAGGTCTCCTTTCTGACTCCACAACCTGCAGATTCTTCATTCATTTTTCAGACTTTAGTCTTTGGTCCCAAATGTTTTATCAGACTTCGCACAGCTTCCTCTGGAGACACTGAAGGCTTTAATGTTTTTCACACATGCAGTCACACTGGCTAAGACCTGAAAACAGACTGATGTGTAAAGTCGGTGGAGGGTGACATTATCCAGTAGACCTGGTGGAGATTATTTTCAGTATTCATAAGCTCATTTCAACTGTGGTTTTGCCTAAATTTAAATATATGCATATCTTATTTTTCTTTTTGCAGTTGTTTTCAGCTACAGGACATATCGTATTTTTTACTTTGTGACAATATGTTTAGGGGTTTGGTGTCAGTAAAATCTGGCAACACTGGTGGTAAGATGATTCATTTGTAGCTTCAGTGACTTTTGTGTTATTTTTAAAATAGAGACTAATAGTTGTACTATTTTGGTGTGTATTCTGTTTTAGTAATTTATCTTTAACACTCCTTTATCTCCTGAGGACAGTTTTCCTTATCTTTAGTTTATTTAAATAGGGTTTGTATGTCGTTGTCAATGAAAATGCAATTATAAACTTTTCTTGTTCTCTTAAGGAAATCTTTTTTTATTTTTAAGCAGTGAGATATTTCCATGTATGTTGCATGCAACTTGATAGTGACCCTCTCCCCTTTTTCCTGTCTGACGTCTTTGAACTCATCCTGGTGACAACTCCTCCACAGCTATCGTCTGTGTAAACCGTCCGAGAAGCACATCTACAAGTCGTCGCCGCTGTTCGGACAGCTGCACACCGTGAAGAAGACGGGGATCCTGCAGGTCGGCGACGTGGTGTACAAGATCAGCCGCTGATAGAGGGAGTCGGAGAGGGTAAAACATGGTGTCAGAACATTCAGTCGCTTTTCTGAAGGAGGGAGAAAGTCGCTGTATAATCACTGTGTTAACCCACACTAAAGAAAGCCCTTACATAGATGTACTACGCACAAATAATGAAGAAAAAAAGTACAAATATGTAACAGTTGTATTAAGTTTAAAATACATCAATAATCAAGTTGTTTTTTTTATTGCTATAATACTAATGGAATCTGAATTAAACACATTTCTAACAACTGCAGGTTGAGGTCAGTGGTCATTAAATCCTAATAGTACACGATGCCATTAATGAGAGAAATTAAAAGGTTCCAGTTTTTGCAATAAAATACAGAATGTGCAATTATTCCTCAGATAAACAGGACAGAGAAACAACAACAACCTCTGGAGGTAAAAAGTAGCAGGAAGAAACCTCCAACAGAACCGGGCTAAGGATGGGCGGGCATCTGGCCCGACCGGTTTGGGTTTTTTTTTTTTTGCGGTGGAGGGTGGGGAGGGTGTTGACATTTCTTATTCCTGTGCCCCAGAACAGATTGATGAATATTTGTGAACATGCTGCACTCTCATCTAAAGTTAGAAACCAAAGGGAGAACCTTAAAATGTACAATGTCATCCCAGTTTACTCTATAACAATGAATGGGGCTCTGATGCTGTGAGGCCTAGAAATGTTTTTCTAATTTCTCAAACCAAAATGGATGTTTTATATCTTAAACCTTATGTCCCATTTAAAATCTGGATGAGACCTGTTAGGAGGTGCTCTACACAGCTGCTGTAGATTATGTGGTTAGTGAAGTAATGCATTTTTCACAGTGGCTCAAGGTAATTTCAGCTGTATGACTTCAGTAGCCTGACTGATGAAAACTTTTGGCTTTTTTAGAATATGACATTTTCAAGTTTATACTTCTAATTATACACTGCCCCCATGCGGTGATTGGGCAGTGTTGGCACCATTTTGGATTTAAATACCGACGACTAAAAACATGATGGTGTCAGTGAACCACTCTTGGCTCGGTGTGCAGTCCGCGGTCAGTAAGTAAAATACTCGGATCTCCTCCTCTTCATCACACCGGTCTCCGGGAACCTTCGTCCTCTTACATCTTGTTTGCAGAGGAAATCAACTACCTGGTACTGGAGGTAAGTGTAAAAGTTTTAGAGTTTATCCAAAGATCCTACTTGATTGGGAAGATGGCTCGTTTGTATGGTAAAAGCCTTGGGTAAAACAATGAATTCAATGGAACTGAAACATTGATTGGGCAGAGGGTTACTCAGCACAAGGTTGAGACGCTGAATAAATTTAAGTTCATTTTTCTTGTTGTTCGTTCTTTCTGAACGTACTGGAACCCAGGATCTGCCGATGAAGGCAACAGAACCACGTGCCCTCTGGACTTTGCTTTGAGATTGGACAGGATACTACTACTAAATTAACTATTTTTAATTCAGTCGTATTTGCCAGTAAACAGTGTCAGCTAGAATTAGGCCTAGGGTGAAATAGACTCTCATTTTCATTGGCACCAGTAAATATCACTTAAACCACAACCAAGTGATGTAAGTGTAACAGACTGCTGTGTTTGCCATGTGCTTTTTGAGGTGTGTCCTCCGAGAATTACAGTCGACTGCCAGGAAAGATTGGTTGTTGTTGTGTGCCAATGTTTTTTGTATTGGTACAGACTGTAATGTGTCAGGTTGAAAACCTGTTTGTATTGCATTTCTGATCAGCTAATTCCTCATTAAGGTGGGAGAAAAGTCAATCTACTGACTATGTTTTGTTACACTGTATTGTTGGTATTTGAGCTGCTTTTGCAATCAACACTGGAAATTTGTGGACATTTTTTCTCTTACTGGCAAAACGGGGACGTTTCGACTTTGAGGGGGGGTCTTGTAATACATCCATGGGCGTACCAAACGTTGCTATCAAGAAACCGGAAGTAGTCAACCGCCGTGGGTGTTTACATCCGGTTACCTTCAGTGCCTGTAGCCGATCAGTAAAACACCCAAACGTGGACAAAATTATTGTCAATGAGTCATTCCACAACTTACCGAAGACCACAAGGCCGATGTCAACAGAATCGCCGAAATGTTTTCAATAACATCAAGCTCTAAACTTGAGGCTACGAGTTCTTGGTCGAAAAACGACTTATTCGACGATCAAGGCAAGTCCCCTGACGCTAGGCTAACGCTAGGCTAACGCTAGGCTAACGCTAGGCTAACGTTAACTGGTTAACTGCCTGGGCTAACTGTAAGCAAGCTCACTGTTTAACGATCTCTGGATATGTTGGGTTTATTTTATATTCATCATCATGTTCTTACTCAGCCGTAGCTAGTTTTACTATTTCAAAATGTTTTTTTAGTAACGGAATTCTAATATTTTCCCCTTTGCCCGGATATACGCAGTGTCAGAGATAGTAGATGGAGAGGTGGCAATTCAGGCAAGATGCCACAGATCAATGAAGAGAGCAGCCACATTACCTCCAGGTTGCCTATATCAAAATCAAAGTCCACCCCCTTCTTTTCCACAAGGACACCTGGGGCAGCCCACGGACTACAGGAGGGACTCATTATGTCATTGGTAAGCATTTGCTTTAACTTATCAGTCACCTCCTGCTGAAAGTGAAGGGGAACCCCTTTTTTTTGTTGAAGAAAATATACTCAACTTCTCCTTAGTTCCAAAGTTTGCTGTATTGGTGTGATTTTATTGGTATTCCAGAATACTGTGAGCATACCTACACAGAGCAGGTCTGGGACAATGACTGGGACAGGTCTACAGTTGAGGAAAAGGGTTATGTAACGTGATGGAGGCAGAGTCTCTAAACCCATCCCTTTTTAAAAAAGCCCAAAAGCTTCCAGTTTTCTTTAACCAATCACACCTGACCTGATATTTTTTCCCACACCCAGACAGATAGTTTTGCTGCCACTGTCATCTCACCTGCAGGATAATGAGCCAGCAGTTATTTCATGCATTATGATAGAGGCGTGATACGACTTGAATAGGGAGTAACTCCAAAAGTGAGAATAAATCCAATGTCTCTATAATTAAGGTTCAGTGTTCAAGAAAGTGTGCGGGCTTCCAAAATGGACAAGAAAGCGGCTCTTCTGATCGGCGGAGCCGGCGTCGCTGTTCTGGGACTCGGGCTCGGATATAAATACCTGCGAAAGCCAGAAAAAGTTGTGCGTGTAGGCGTAGTGTCGCAGCTGCTCATTCACCCTCTCAAATCCGGCAGAGCGGTGTCTGTGGCTCTCGTAGAGTGTCAGAAAATTGGTTTGAAGTTCGGGGAGATGCAGGATCGTCGAGTGTTGTGCACGAAGGATTTAAGTTTATAATGTTGGAGTGCAGCCGATCACTTGTCAGGTTTTTACTGCTTACACTTTTAAAATAGTCAAATTTAGCATCTTACATTTTATAATCCACTAATGTAGTTTTTTAAAATGTATTTCCCTATAGATTATATTTATCTATATAGATTTTCATGGCATCCTTTTTGATTAGTTTATTAATGGGGGGTTTTCAAAACATGCGAATATCTCTTACTGTCTCATTTATTTTGCCATTTTTATGGAAGTCCACCTGGAAAAGAGAAAAAAGGTGAAATATGGGAATGACAAAGTAAAAATAATCATGGTTTAGTTTTGATGTTGGCATCTTATTATTTTGACTCAGTACTACTACTAGTATACATAATGAGGTTCTGAATTATCGTGAGTGTTTGTATTTTTCATCGTAGATTTTAAATCCCTGTTTGAAGGAAAATAGTCAAAGGTTTCCCCTCTCCAAGTGTAAATCTGGTTTAATTCTTTCACAAATGGAATAAACTTCAGACTGCATTTGCATAGATTACACTCCCTGAATGTGTAATTTGGTTTTGGGAGGTGTTTTTCCTTCATGTCCCAATATTAAAATTATTTCTGAACTTTTAAGGAGATTTTCATGAAGTCTTGATACAGGTCTGAAACCCTGCCAAAATTTAATTCAGTTTCCCGGTGCTAGCACATCAAACATGCCAGGTAAAATGCAGGAAAAGGTGCCAAATGGTGCAAATGAGAGAACTTCACAGTTGTGTTTTGTTTTGTTTGCAGACACTGGCTGGTGGTGACAGAGGACGGTCACATGGTGACGGGCAGACAGGAGCCCCGTCTGGTGCTGGTGTCTCTGACCTGCGAGGGAGGTCAGGTTTGTTTGAACGGACCAAATATGGAGGAGCTGAGGTTCCCCGTCAAACAGCCCGACAACCCCGTCATCGACTGCAGGTCGTCAGGGTTTGGGTTTTCTGTGGTGGTTTATTTGTTTTATTCCTTTTTATGTGACGTCAGCTGAGAGTGGTACAGTGGAAGTTGCCGTTTTTTAGGCTACCAGGGAACATTTACATTTTCTTGACGATTTATTATTTCCAGTAGCTACTTATCTACAGCTTGATTAAATGTTTAATCAAAAGTATCAAGTGTCTATTTTAAAAATATGATAGTGCCTAAAGCCATCTTTAAAAATACCAGAAAGATACAAACAGTTGAAGTCTAGGGCTGCAACTTACGATTGTTTTCATTATCTGTTAACCTGTTCATTATTTTCTGGATTAACTGTTGGAAAATAATGAAAAATGCCTGTTTCAATTTCCCACAGTTTGTGCTGACATCCTCAAACGTCTTAATATTATCTGACCAATCGTCCAAAATATAAAAGTATTTAGTTTACAATCATTAAACAAAGAAAAGCAGCAAGTCATTGAATCTGAGAAGCTGAAACAAGTGAGTTCTGCATTTTTGCATAAAAAGATCATTAATTGATGATCAAAATAGTTGGAGATTAATTTTGTATCTCTTATATCTGTTAGTTTTGCCAATCGTGCATATTTTATATAAAGTGGACTATAATAGATATTGTAAAAAATGTAATTTAATTTTAAAATGTTAGTGCCTATTGACTATTATTGTTATTTTACATTATTCCAACTGATTTTTCCAGACTAACACTTGTTGTTTTTCGTGCTGCAGAGTGTTTCGCTCTGACATTCAGGGCCGGGACTGTGGCGAGGAAGCGTCTCAGTGGCTCACTCGCTATCTGGGGGCAGAGAAAACCTTCCGCCTGGTGCACTTTGAACCCCAGATGAGGGCCAGGAGACCCGTGGAGAAGGAGCCTCTCTTCCCACAGTATGAGGTATTTTCAGTGTTGTTAATTAAACTAATACTTTTAACTACATTTTGTAGTAACTTGCTGGAAGTTCAACTACATTCATATGTGCTTCAGTCTTGCGG